CACTAGCTTCAGGTAGGTAGTGTCAGAACTGAGTTCAGGTTGTGGAACACCTTGGTCAGTGTCGGAGGATTAATTGCTTGGTGGTGTGGAAAAACACACACTGCAACACCTTGAACACTTTTTCCTATATTGAATACATTCAAGTCTCTATAAATCTGGGAATTTATGGGGCAGATTAAACCCCAAATGTATTGTGTTTGGCTTACATAATTCACTTATTGCAGTTCTAAAAGGAAAAGCAAACCTATTTCCTTCTACTCTCAACACTTCTGACACCAACATGTGGGTTTTCCACCCTAAGCTGTTCTTTAATTTTCAGTGGACACCAACGGGGTGTCCCAGAGTTTCACTCAATGCTTAGACCTCACAGGTTCAGGGTTCAGTCCCACAAGACTAAAGCCCACATCAGATGCTAATCTCAAATCCCAAATTGTCATCGGTGCTTCTGACCAACTGGCTAAAATCGAGGGTTTCCATAACCCCCTCCTCCGGTTTGATAATTTGTGGCAACAGCTCCCAGAATCAGGAAAGTGCTTTACTTAAGACTAGCCACTGGTGATTTAGTCTCCAGCCCCTCTCTACTCTCTTCTCCCCAGAGGTGGTGGTGGAGTGGGGTTGAAGTTCCAACCCTCTCTAATCCCAAGGTTGGTTCCTAGTGGAACAAGTCCCCCATCCTGCACAAGCCAGTTCATTAACAAACTCAGGTGTGCTTGGCAGGGGCTTATAAAAAAAAACAAAAAAACAAGAGATGCTCCTCTCATTCCTATCACTCAGGCAATTCCAAGGATTTTAGGAGTTCTGTGTCAGGAAGCTGGGTGGAGACCAAGTACGTATTTTTTATTATGTCACAGGTTACTTGTCTGGATCATGTATGCATTTGATTTTGTTCCTTTTGCCTTAAACATTTTGGGGGGAAGAGGTGATAAATTGCTAAGTTATGTTGAACACAATTATTCATCTTTTTCATTTGTATGTAAAATATATTTGTATGTAAAAAATGTTTATATTTATTTCCCTCTATTTCTAACTTGTTTTGTTTTCATTTTTGTTTTTCATTTTTGAAGTGTTTTTGCTTCATTGCAGGTGTTGTTCAGGCTTAGAGAGGGAAATGAGAAAGCCTTGAGGCCCTTTGAGCATCTAATCTCCCTTTCTTTAATTTCTGGCTGCTGGTGAGTTATGGTTTATGGTTTCCACCTCTTAGTTGGCTCTGTTTCTGTGCATCTCTAACAACTGTGTTTCTTTCTGACATCTTATTTTCACACTCTTTGAGACAGACTCCACTGTGAGAGTCCAGGCTTCCTCACTGAGGTTTGCCTATGGGTTTAGTGCAGGATCCTAGCTGTGCAATGTTGTGCCGGCCAGAGCCGCAGTGTGGCAACTGGCACACAAGAAACTACCCTCGGCTGTTTGCTCAAAATTGGGCTTCCGGGGCAGGCACTTAGATCTTGAGACTCTGCTGGTACAGAGGAGACCAGAACCCACGTGTAGTTAAGAGCTCACATCCTAGAGTCTGATTGCCTAGGGTTTATAACTTGACTCCACCAATTACTGGTTGGGGGATCGTAGGTGAGCTACTTTACTAATCTATGCCTCTGTTTCTTCATCTGAGAAATGGGGATAATACATATCTCATAGTGTTGCTGTAAGAATTAAATTAGATGATATATCAAGAGCCTAGCATAGACCTGGATGTATAACAAAGACTCAATAAACTTTGGTTATTATAATCATAATTATGATTGTTATTTGGATATTTCCAAGGCTCTAGCACAGTACCTTTTACATAGTAGCTTCTCAATAAATCTCAGCTGAATGAAGAGATGAACCAATGAATTAATCACATACCAGTGCCTGAAATATGTAGTTTGGCTGAGTAAATCATCTCTCAGATGGGACTTTAAAATATTATATCTAGAAACTAAAAGAAGTGTTTAATCTCTTCTTTCAAAAATCATTTCCATAATGAGATTTGCATTTCAAATGGACTTTGTATAACGAAGAGCTTTTCCTCTCCCCTCCTACCCAAGAGTAGTCCATGATGATTCATTTGTTATTTTTCTTTTCTTTACTTTTTAAAGATTTTATTTATTTGAGAGAGAGAGAGACCAAGCACAAGGCTGGGGGAGGGGCAGAGGGAGAGGGAAGAGCAGACTCCCAGCTGAGCAGGGGGCCCGTTGTGGGACTCCATCCCAGGACCTGGGGATCATGACCTGCGCTGAAGGCAGACACTTACCCGGCTAAGCCACCCAGGCGCCCTCATCTGTTATTTTTATAGGGCCCCAGTAAAAAGCTGTGTTTTTCTTTACTGGCTAGGCAATTTGCAGTGTGTGTCACAAGAAAGGTGTATTAATTTTTACCCTGTTGGATTTTCTTCCACAAAGCCATCAGCAGTGGATGAGAGAAATTTGTTATCCTTGTCCCTGCCAGTAATAAATATTATTTCTTTAAATTCCCCCCCCCCCTTTTTTTCTGCAATCTAGGTATGAAGTGATGGAAATGTTTTTTGGGTTTTTTTTTTAAGATTTTATTTATCTGACAGAGAGAGACACAGCGAGAGAGAGAACACAAGGAGGGGGAGTGGGAGAGGGAGAAGCAGGCTCTCCACTGAGCAGGGAGCCCGATGCGGGGCTGGATCACAGGACCCTGGGATCATGACCTGAGCCGAAGGCAGACGCTTAACGACTGAGCCACCCAGGCGGCCCTGAAGTGATGGAAATGTTAAGCCTTAAATTCACAGATCAGAATCAAGCTGGGATGGACTCAAGTCCATCTGGTTCCTTCACAGAGTTAAACTATATTGAAATAGCCAAAATATATTGCAGTCTTTGCATAGAATCTATTGCCTACCCTTCCTTCTGTTTTTTCAGCACACCTTTTACTCTGCTTGTCTAATGTGCCATGGCCACATATGCCACATATAGATGATCCTTAGATTTTGCGGTTCTTCAAAAGGAACTAGATTGCATTTGGTATAAGAAAACACTGTTCTAGTATTTCTAGTGTGCTATCTTCATGTCTTCATTGTTACCATCACCAAAAAACCTTCTCTGTCGTTAACATCATCGGTTACATATTTCTTTATCTTACCCTATAAAGAATTTAAATTCCTACTATTTTAGATTCTCTTCTGTTTATCTTTAATGTCTTTTTTTTTAGGTTTTATTTATTTGACAGAGAGAGACACAGCGAGAGAGGGAACACAAGCAGGGGGAGTGGGAGAGGGAGAAGCAGGCTTCCCGCTGGGCAGATAGCCTGATGCGGGGCTCTATCCCAGGACCCTGGGATCATGACCTGAGCTGAAGGCAGACGCTTAAAGACTGAGCCACCCAAGCGCCCCTATCTTTATTGTCTTTAGTTTTTATTCTTGGTTTGCAAAGCTACCTCCTTTGATCATTTCAATTTTAATGTTTTTATAATCTACACTCAACATTTCAAACTTTTATCTTTGCTATTTTGTTTAAATACTTTTCTCAGGTATAATTCTTTCATCATTGTTTCTTACTTTTAACTATCTCGATTTTGATCTTACAGTTTTCTGATTTTATCTTTTTATATCCTTGGTTTGTAAAGAGTAAACAAGAAATCTAGGTATAAAGACAGATCCAAAAGGTTTTGCTGATGAATTGGTCACAGATGGAGAGGGAAAGAAAGGCATTAGTGTTGACAACTAGCACTGTAGTCTGAACAAATGGGTAAAAAATGGTGTGATCTACTGTAGAAAAAACTGAGAGGGGAGTATGTTGGAAGAGAAAGTAAGAGTTTCTTCTCTCTCACCACCATTGCAGAATAGAAGAGCATTGTACCATTTTAAAAGGACGTATTGCAGATATTTTTAAATGAATACTTAAGTTTCTGGAAAAGAATCACTAGTCTATTTTTTCTTATTTTGCTGTTATTGATAAAGACTTCTGGCATTTATATGAAAGACCTATTTTAGGAACACTCACTATGGTACCTAGATAGAGAATAGACTGAAAAGTTGCAGACAGGAAGCTCCATAAGAATGGAAACACTGGAAGTCAATTGCAATTTGGATGAAATTAAGATGAAAGCTCTACTAATCTGTTGATAGGGAAGCTGAAGTTTGGAGAAGTTTGCCTGATGCCAATAATGTAGATGAAAGAAGTTTTTGCTATGAATGAAGTGGTTGAGTTTTTTTTTTTTTTAAAGAAAAAGTGATAATGCAATGAGTTAAGAATTATTATATCTAGTTGTTTTAACAGGCATATTCAATTTTCTGAGCTTCAGAGGAGGCCTGTCTAGCCAACATGTTCTTTACTTAGTATTATGCTTTTTTAGCATGGCTATGGAGTCCACATTACTCTAAAGATTGAGTTGAAATAAAGTAATTGTGATTTGTAAATGTATTAGACTCATGTTAAATATTCATCAATTAGACCAGAGCCAAAGTGCCTTCGTTTTCTTGAAAAGGTAGACTGTTATTTTGTTGAAAACAGTCAACGCCCGGGACACTAGCTCGGCTGGGCTCTCGCCCTCAGGGTCTTCATCTGCAAAATAGGGACAACGATGTGCATCTCAAAGGATTTCGAGGATATTTAATGCGATAATGGATGTGTAAAGGAGAAAGGACTTTACACGGGCTTGTTTAGCTATACTTTTCCTCACTTCCTCCTCAAATGCCCCAGTGCTGGGTACACGCAGAGGGTATTAACCGTTCTCTCGTTGAATGACCGACTGCATGACTCGAGGCCAGAACAGCTTCCTATTTTGGAATTCCAACGACTTGGAAAGCGTGACGGCACCTGTGAAGTGGAATGTCAATAAAGTTTTCTTTATTAAAAACAAACAAACAGCATCCACGAAACTACAAATCCCCGCCTTCCTGAAGCCCACTAGCCAAGGGGCTGGCCAGGAACCCGGAAGTCTGGCCGGCTGGCCGAATCACGCCGGGAAACGTACATAGCGGGGGCCAATCCTGGGCAAGCTTGCTCCCGCGCCGCGCCGAGTCCCGCCTCCGCGCGTAGCGCTGACGGGGCGTTAGCGGGTACGGCGGCCGCGGGGGTGGCGCCCCGGCGTTTACCTAGCTCGGCCTTCTAGGCTCGAGGCTCCGTTCCACCATGGCTCCCAAAGGCGGCTCCAAACAGCAGTCCGAGGAGGACTTGCTTCTGCAGGATTTCAGCCGCAACCTCTCGGCCAAGTCCTCCGCGCTCTTCTTCGGGAATGCCTTCATCGTGTCCGCCATCCCCATCTGTGAGCGCCGGGAGCAGGCGGACGGCGGAGGCCGCCGGCGGGCCGGGCTGGGCGGGGACGTGGCAGGGCCCGGCCGACTGGCGGGAGTTGGGGCCGTCGGCCCGCGGCTGTCCCCACCTCGTCCTGAGCACGGGGATAGCACCTAGCTTCTGTGGGCCTCAGAGTGCTCAACGGGGATAGTGGTGGGCGGCATCACAGGAAACTCACTTGTGGCCCCACTCCGGGAGATTGTGATTTCCTAGTTCTGGGATGGCGGCCCCTAATCTGCGAACAATCGGGTTAAGATTTTGTGCTAACACTCACGCATATGTAATCTGCTGTCTGTTTTTTTACCCACAATTGTTTGCCATTACCAGCTTTAAAACTTTATCGTTTCCTTATTTTGGAAAAACTAATGAATTAGGCCAGAGTCAAATTCCCATTAACCCTCGGACTGAATTAGAAGTGTAGCTTTAGGTGAAGCCCTTCACCCTGCTGAACATTGTTTTCCTAATTGGATGAGAGAGGTTGCACCAGTGCCAAGAGCCGGCGCTCTCACTTGTTTAAACTCTTTCATGCTATTAGGACAATTCTAGAATTCTCATTTGGATGGAAGAACTTTGCAGACTTGAGCAAAGTTGTTGTAGCTCAGGTTTCCTGGATTTGAATCTCCTGCCTCACACTGCTGCACGTTTGTTGGGCAGTTAAGTCGAGATTCATTTTCTTTTGGCCTTTTAAAACCTCGCTGGCCGTTGATTTCAGATAGCCACGTCAGCATGTAAACTATGGCTTGGGACTGCACGTGGCTGTGGAACAGCCTGTACTTAGCTTAATAGTACCCTGATGAATGAAACCTGAAGTCTGAATTGATTTTTTTGGTGGGGGGAGCGGGATTCAGAGTTTATTCTCATTTTAGAAGAAGCAGAAATCTCATCTGGACTAGTAATGGGAAGGTTCTGTTTTTCAAGTTTTCTGAGCTGGGGAAGTTTGAGACTGTAACTTTATCACTTCTGAAGATCCTCTTATACTGTGTTAGATTTTCTAACCTGGGCTGTATTTTATAGGCTTAGCTACAATTAATTGAGCATGCCTTTGTAACTGGGTGGTAATGTTTTGTTCCTTTTTGTATCCTCCTCTCCCCCTTCTGTCTCAATTCAGGGTTATATTGGCGAATATGGCATATGGATCTTATTCAGTCTGCTGTTCTCTATAGTGTGATGACCCTAGTAAGCACTTACTTGGTAGCCTTTGCATACAAAAATGTGAAATTTGTTCTCAAACACAAGTAAGTATATTTCTCAAGGGAAAGTATGTATTACATGTTGCACTTTTATATAGAAGGATGTCTTAAAAGACCATTTGTGTGTCTTGTTTTCAATAAGCATCAATTTGATCTGTATATGTATATAGGCATATTAATGCTATAAAGAATTATTAACTAAGTGAAGCAGAGACAGTGCTTCTGACACTTATAGAAGTAGGTTTTGAGGGTGAAATTAGAACAGTTGAGCACTAGCCTTAATCATGGGGTTTATCAGAAAAACAAACCACCAAGTAAATTAACATTGCTGAAGCCAAATGAAATTCTTTCTGGAAAGAACAGTTCTGGTTCTCCATGTACTATTTTTGGACATGAAATAAGTGGTCTTTTTTTTTTTTTTTTTAACTCTGACATTTTTAATGCTAATTACATTTTTTCTTATAAGTATGTAAAAATGTAAAAGATTATTGTATTTCCTCTAAGGTTACACATTATATAAATCCTTTCTAAGTTTGTTGTTTCTATGTTAGGCTCTTTGTGGTGACAGGGAATAGAAACATGTTGAGATGAGGGGCACCTGGGTGGTGCAGTTGGTTAAGTGGCCAACTTTTGGTTTTGGCTCAAGTCATGATATCAGGATCCTGCGAGCCTGTGTCAGGCTCCACATTCAGTGGGAGTCCATTTGGGTATTCTCTCCCTCTGTCCCTTCCCCCGCTCACATGCGCTCTCTCTCTCTCAAATACATAGATCTTTAAAAGAATAAAAGAAACATGGTGAGATGATCTTAGTTAACAGGGATTTATTATATAAAGACCAGAAATGGCCTCAGTGGCTGAAAGTGGCCTCAGCATCTTCTCTGCTGTTGTCTTGGACCCATAGGAGCTCAGGTTTGTGTGACTGCCTTTCTGCTAGACCAGCAGAGTGATCATCTTTATCATCTTTCTGCTTGGCAGCCCTCTTCACCAACTGCCATTCCGGTTTCAGCCTGTCTTGGACTCTCCTGTTCTGGGCTGGCTTTCTTGTGAGGTGTGGCCAACTGTGGGTAGTGAAGCCTTCAGATGTGGGCACCTTGTACGACCCATCCTTTGTGATATCCTCAGAACTCACTCCCTTTGAGACTTGGATGTTTTTTGACTTGTTCTGCATATTATTTTTCATTAACCTTTTTGGAATTAAAATTACGGTTTTTTGCCTTCTCATTTCTACTCTAGGCTTCTTGAGGGCCACTGCCATGTCTTTTGTCCCTCACAACAGTTAACGGTACATTTAGTTGAGTAAAATTTCAGTTACTTACTGACTTGATTTAATAGGTTCTCCCAGAGTGGAATTTTTTTTTAATTATAGTTTCGATTTAATATTAAATACTGCCACTCATATCGAAGCTTCTACAGATTTACAAGATGTGTTAAAGCTCAAAGACCCAGGAAGATGCAGAGTATGGGTAGGTGTTCATAGTAGAGGGAAGTTGGCTTATGTGTTGACAGTCTGGATTCCAGTCTAAGCTCTGCTTTGCTTAAATGTATAGCTTTGGGCACACATTTCATCTTTTGAGACATCACATTTCTGAGCTGTAAAGTGGGGATACTAATGGTACCTCATAGATGGTGAGGATTAAATAAGATAATATGGGTGACATGTTAAGCATAGTGTCCGGCACATAGTGTTTATTTGCAGTGTTGGAGACATTGGGGGTGAGAGAACCCGTAGGAATTTTTTTAAGGTTGCGTGACTTTTAAAAAATGTTTTTCTTTAAGAAATTAAATAAATGGGGGTGCCTGGATGGCTCACTTTGTTAAGTAACTGCCGTCAGCTCAGGTCATGGTCCCGGAATCCTGGGATCAGTCCAGCACGGGCTTCCGGCTCAGCGGGGAACCTGCTTCCCCCTCTGACCCTCTCCCTTCTCATGCTGTTTCTCTCTCTCTCTCTTTCTCAAATAAATAAATACAGTCTTAAAAAGAAATTAAATAGATGGTATTTTTCTTTTTCTGGAAAGGTTCTGAAATATGTTAAAAAAATAATAGGTAAACAGTTGATTTTGTGGGTTATCTCATTTGGCTGAGTGCTGGGCCACTGGAGTAACCTATGTCTTGTTTTAGAGCATTCAGCACTGAGACTTACTTAAGAGCCCTATGAGGGTAGGAGTTGTTGAGTTGTAATAAGCCTGATAGGTTGTTATGGGTCTGTTAGGTGAAGATAGAATTTTAGATCTAGAAGAGAAATTAACTAGTTAATCTGGTTTGGTCTATTCAGGAAGATTTGTCCTGTGAACAGATGATTGACTATTTGTCTTAAAGATACTTGGAGATAGCCAACTCTTTTGAAAATAGTTTATTCCTGTGTCCTACCATTCTGACGGGCTGTGGGGGTGGGTGTATATATGTATATTTTCTTCCCTCTGTTCAGCTCAGAAATGTTTCTGCTGTAAACCACATTCATTTCTTATCAGCTGGCCTTTCTTAGAAAAAAGTGGTCTTATGCTAAGTTCAAGAAACCTTTGCCTGGTCTGCTAGAGAGGTTCAGAAATAAGAGTCTGCCCTTAAGAACAGAACTTTTACATAATAAAATGAATCAGTCGAAGTTGGATCTTTGGGAATTTGTGTTTAATTTGTATCCCAGAAGCTCTTGTGGTTAAAGAAAGGTTGAAAACTATGGACTTGAATGATCTTGGGCTTTCTTTTCAGGAATCTATCCTGATTTCTCCACACCTTTTCTTGGTACACTGACCAAAACTAAATATAGCATAATAATGAGGGATTAATTAATTGAACATAGAGTGAACAGATTTCCACGTTCCATATTTTCTTGCTTTTAATATATCTCAATATTGTGTTGAACATTTTCATAGTGGGACTGTGTAGATAATTGTTAGATTTTGCTTATATCTGTTATTTTTCTTCTATAATTATGGCTAACCAGTCTCTCCTCCTATATTATGAAAAATACACCATGTTGAATTTAAATGTCATGAACTTTGGGAGGCTTTTTATATTTTGTCGTAGGTTAAATTTCATACTCTCTTTCACTAGCAGTCTCATCTGATAAAATTCACCTTATAGATTATCTGATGAAGGTACTTTTTTTTTTTTAATTTGATCACTGAAGATTCTGATCTGGTCTCTTGAATAACACTTTTAGTTTTTCTGGCTGATTCCATACAGTGGTTCATTTAGTTAAAAGTTGTATGGTTGATCCCTGACCTTGTGGTATTACTTATTTTTAGTAAAATTGTTCTTTGAGTGGAGTTAAAGTATTACTTTAATATGTTACAGCTGTTAATTCCCTTTTTATTTTTATTTTTTTATGATTCTGCTTTGTAATTTTTTAAAACATTTAAATTTAATTAATTAACATATAATGTATTCTTGGTTTCAGAGGTACAGGCCTGTGATTCATCAGTCTTATACCCAGTGCTCATTACATCACGTGCCCTCCCCAGTGTCCCTCACCCAGCCACCCCATCCCTTGCCTCCCTCCCCTCCAGCAACCCTCAGTTTGTTTCCTGTGATTAAGAGTCTTATGGTTTGTCTCCCTCTCTGGTTTCGTCTTGTTTTATTTTTTTCTCTCTTCCTGTATGATTCTCTGTTTTGTTTCTTAAATTCCACATATCAGTGAGATCATATGAAACTTGTCTTTCTCTGACTTATTTCATTTAGCATAATAGCCTCTAGTTCCATCTATGTCATTGCAAATGGCAAGATTTCTTTTCCTTTTTTTGATGGCTGTGTAATATTCCATTGTGTATATATAGGCACACCACATCTTCTTTATCCGTTCATCTGTTGATGGACATCTGGGCTCTTTCCATGGTTTGGCTATTGTGGACATTGCTACCATAAACATCGGGGTGCGTGTACCCCTTCAGATCACTACATTTGTATCTTTGGGGTAAATACCCAGTAGTGCAATTGCTGGGTCTTAGGGTAGCTCTGTTTTCAACTTTTTGAGGAACCTCCATACTGTTTTCCAGAATGGCTGCACCAGCTTGCACTCCCACCAACAGTGTAGGCGGGTTCCCCTTTCTCCGCATCCTTGCCAACAATTCCCTTTTTTAAAATAAAGATTTTATTTGCCAGAGAGTGCGCGCATGCATGCGCAACCGTGTACATGTGCAAGCAGGGAGAGCAGCCGGCAGAGGGAGAAGCAGGCTGCCCACTGAGCAGGGAGCCCGATGTGGGACTCGATCCCAGGACCCTAGGATCATGACCCGAGCCGAAGGCAGACGCTTAACCGACTGAGCCACCCAGGTGTCCCTCCCCTTTTGTTTTTTAAGTCTAGTTTACTTTTATTTACTGGAATTGAGATCCTATATCATTTGCCAGTGCCTTATCAAATTTATTTATAGAAACAACTAGGCTAAAACAAAATGGAGTTAAAATGATTTTTAACTAAGTTGTGCTAAAAGCATTTGACTTATTTCCATATTAAATACCTAAACTTTGGAAAATTACCCCTTTTAAGCAGAAGTCAAAGCTTATAACTAATAAACTCCATCTTGGAAGTTCCTGAACTCTTTTTTTGGCTATTACAGTATAATAAACTTGGAATTTTCTGTCAAGATTATTTCTTGAAATGTAAAGTATCATATAGTTGCCAATACAAAATATGAGTACAGAGTGTTTCAGATAGTGTGATATTCATTCGTGGAGCATGCGGAAACTTTTTTCTTTTTTTTTCCCCCCCCAGAGTAGCACAGAAGAGGGAGGATGCTGTTTCCAAAGAAGTGACTCGAAAACTTTCTGAAGCTGATAACAGAAAGATGTCTCGAAAGGAAAAAGATGAAAGGTTGGACTTCTAAAGTGTTAGTGATAATCAAAAAGGGAATACTTTGTAGAAAATTAAGTTTTTGGTTTGTGCCTGGAGAATGTGGATAATGGAATTGCCTGAGGTTAAATGTTGATATTGTAGAAGACAATAACAATCACACTGACATTTTGAGTTTTTACCACCACCAGATGCTTTTCTTTGTGTTATACACAGTTCATTTGTTTCTTTAAAGAGCCCTATGAGGTAGGGCTAATATTTCCAATTTACATCTGAAGAAACGGAGGTACAGAAAGCTTGGGTAACTTGCCCAAGGGCATAGATTCCTGTGCGTTGGTCAATCCACAATAAGAACAATAAGAACTCGGGCAGTATGGCTCGAGAACTTGTTCTCCTTAAATGCTGCACTGGAGTTCAGGAGCCTACGAGCTTTATCCAGTGGTGGCTCTGCCACTTGATAGCTATGCAGCCTTGAGCATATTACCTCACCCCTCTGGGTCTGAAGAGTTTACATTGTGTTGGTGTTAGCATTTTTGGGTGGTGGTATTTCCATTCCGGAGCTTCCCTAAGGACAGCCAGTTCTTGGTTATCTGCGTTGGTTGGGAAAAAGAAAACAACTTGGTTTCTCTCCTGTTGCCCAAATCTCTGCCACATTTGTTAGCCCTTACCCCTCAATTTTTCCTGCCAAGTGCTCTTAAAAGACTTAATAGTGTAATATCTGAGTAGCAGAAGTCTCTGAATGATTGAATAAACCTGTGCTTTAGAGTTGTTACGTGGGTTTAGTACAGTCACGAGTTGAGGTGGTTTTCATAGATCTTAAGTTTTAGTATCTACAAAGTGCTTTGTGAAATGGAATTTTTAACCCACTTTACCTCCAGAAAGACTTTGTGGAGACTTGCCATATTAAAGTGCATATGAAATCAGTACAATTTTGAAAGATCAGAAACCTTTAAAAGTAAGAAAAGCTGGGTAAACAAGAACTCAGAGTTAGTTACAGCAGTTGAGCATTGAACTTAACTCTGAGCTTCCAAGTGTCAGGGGAAGCATCTGAGGTCATACACTTTCATTGTCTGATGAGAAGCAGCATGTAAATCCTTCTGAAAAGAAACTTTCCTGGCACTGAATCTTGGAAGGACTTTATCAAGTAGATCCTTATTTAAGGGACACTGAGTAACTTAATAAACAATGTCTTGTACAGTGGTTTTGAAAAGGCACTAAAACGTTATAAAAATGGTAATCTCCTGTGGATCCTTTATAAAAACTGAAGGATACAATATTTTTTTTTTTTAAGATTTTATTTATTTTTTTAAGTAATCTCTGTACCCAGTGTGGGGCTCAAAGTCAACACCCAGAGATCAAGAGTTGCATGCTCTACCGACTGAGCCAGCCAGGTGCTTCCTGAAGGGTACAATATTAAAATAGTGACAGTGAAGGCAGCTTTAATGAGGTCTGGTTGCATAGCTTCCTGATTGTAAATTTTTTTTTTTTTTTTAAGATTTTATTTATTTATTTGACAGAGACACAGAGAGAGAGCACAAGCAGGGGGAGTGGGAGAGGGAGAAGCAGGCTTCCCGCCGAGCAGGGAGCCCGATGCGGGGCTCGATCCCAGGACTCTGGGATCATGACCTGAGCTGAAGGCAGACGCTTAACGACTGAGCCACCCAGGCGCCCCCTAATTGTAAATTTTTGCATGGTGATAGAGATAGGGAATCTAGGACATTTTTTTAAAAAATCTTTTTACTGGGTGCCTGGGTGGCTCAGTCGTTAAGCATCTGCCTTCGGCTCAGGTCATGATCCCAGGGTCCTGGGATTGACCCTCGCATTGGGCTCCCCACTCTGTGGGAAGCCTGCTTCTCCCTCTCCCCCTGCTTGTGTCTCTCTCTGTCAAATAAATAAATAAAATCTGGGCACCTGGGTGGCTCAGTTGGTTAAGCGACTGCCTTCAGCTCAGGTCATGATCCTGGAGTCCCTGGATCGAGTCCCGTGTCGGGCTCCCTGGCTCAGCGGGGAGTCTGCTTCTCCTTCAGACCCTAACCCCTCTCATGTGCTCTCTCTCATTCTCTCTCAAATAAAGAAATAAAATCTTTAAAAAATAATAATCTTTAAAAAAAATCTTTTTACTAAATTATAGTATTTATTAGAAAAGTGGTTCTTAAATTGGAGTGTACATCACAGTTACCCAGTTTCAAAATGCTTGTTACAGCTCTGTAGGTTTTAGGTGATGAATTGTAGCAGAGATGGCAAATGTGGTCTGGCACATGTTCTTGATTCTGGGATATGTCTCAGGATTTTTCTCAGCATGGTATTCAGGTAGTCACTACTACTGGATCAGAGTTGGAATTGGAAATGAAATATCTTTGCCATTGGCTGAATCAGTATTTCAAAGAATGAAGTGTAGGTTTTGTGAATACATAAAATGTAGAGTGTCAGAAGATTATAAAATTTCTATTCTTATCATCAGAAGTTTGTGCTGTTACCATTTCACAAAAACCACACTGGATAAAGTTGTATCCAGGTGTATACTCATGATTGACTCTGCTGAGATCAGGACTCTCATTAAGATGTAGTATTTACAAAAAAAGAAATCTAGTATTTTTCTCCCTCAAAAGAGTTGCTTCAAGAGATTTCAGAGAAGGCTTAGCAACACCTCTTTGCCTAGATACATGTGGCTCAAAGCTCCCACCTACAGTCATTTGGAATATGTGCCCCATGCGACTTTGAAACTGCTTTGCTCTCCATTCAGGGTTGGAAATTAGCTGAGGAAAATCAGAGAGTCATTAATATTTATCCCAGGGTGTGAGTGTTATTTCTTCTTGACTTACCAATGGTCTGTCATTTAGTATTAATGTGATTATAACAGTTCTTGAGTTTGATCTCAGTCTTTGCCCTGTAGGAAATGCTCCTTGGAAAAATGACTCCTTGGGCGTGAAAAATGACTCCTTGGGCGTGCTCTCCCAAACTAAGTTTCTTACCAGTGAAGCTTTGGCAGAACTATTGCTGATGAGGGCATTTGGGGGTCTTCATTTTTTTCTAAAACCAGGATATCATTGGGCTAGAGAAAATTCTGAAAGCTGTCCAAGATAGTCCTGTGTATACACTGATGTAACACTTGGACATATCGGGAGCTGGAGTAACCTAAAGGATTGAGCCACTTGTTTTATCACAGCTGTTTTGAAGATGGTTCTAATTCAGGCATGACAAGGAGTTAGGAGAAGTGCTTCTATGGAGGTGGGATAATCTAAGCAACCATAATGGAGGCATGCTAATAGCCTGTTTAAGGAACCTGTCTCCACTGGGTCTTGTACCAGTCTTAAAAACAAATACTTGTTCTGAATGTTTTCTAGCATTAAACCATGTTGGGGCTATGCATCTTTTTGAGATGGTGTTTTCTTTCATCAGTGTTAAACTGGTATAATTATTTCCTCCAATTCCAAGTCACATGTTTTTTAAATTTACATTTAAACTTCTCGTACATCAGGAGCTGTTTTTAGTTGATGGCTGCATTTAATGTAGTATCTTTTACTTATCCCAAACTTACAGTAAATAGAAGTTTTATTAAGTTGATGGTATCCATAGAATCAAGGACCTATGGCATTTATATTAGAGAACACAAACTTCTTGTGATGAGGTTAAGTTCATTTCATTTAGCTCCTTTACAGTCAAGCTTGTTGACTTTGGATTAAAACATTTGGTGAGTAAAATGTAGCAATTGCCAATGACATTAGCCATAGTGCTGTCCTTAGAGGATTGGTGGAGGGGATCATCTGGCCCCAGGGTAGTGTATCTTTGGGGAGGACAAAGCATCAGTGGTGATGGCTTTCAACCTTTTTGATAATAATCACAGTAAAGTACTTCGCCTTTCGACCAAATACACTCAGACATGCACACATGCAAACGTTTCACAAAACAATAATTATCCTACTGTGGGTGATACACTCGATATTTTTCTTTTCTTTTTTTAAGATTTTATTTATTTGTCAGAGAGAGAGAGAGTGCAAGCACGTAAGCAGGGGGAGCACCAGGCAGAGGGAGAAGCAGACTCCCCACCGGGCCAGCCAGGAACCCAATGTGGGGCTCGATCCTAGGACCCTGGGATCACGACCTGAGCCAAAGGCAGATGCTTAACTGACTGAGCCACCCAGGCACCCTCAATATTTTTCTATTTAAAAAAATGCTGGTCTCATTCCACTCAGTTACTTTCCCTGAGCGTTGAATCCGCCCAGTTGATTTCACGTCCCGCTAGTGGGTCACAACCTACTCTTCTAAAAACTGCCTTACAAAGTTAATTAATGAAATGGAATAAAGGCTACCTTATTCATAGGCATCCTGGAACTTCCTGCTGCCCGTGTGAAGAGGTAAAAGAAAAGGCTGATAAAGTTTTAGTTAATAAAACATAATGAGTAAAGTGGATTAAATAAAAAGTAAATGGGTTTTACAGAAGTTAAAAAATCCTCCTAATATTGAAGCACATTCTTTGTTTGAATTATGTAAAGGCAGATAAAGATAGTTGCAGACAAGTCTGCTTCTGTGAGCCACGGCTAGGTTTTGTTTTTGGGATTGTCTTCAGGTGTAATATTGAAGGCTGAGATCTGGAGGCTATTGAGAGTCTTAAGCCAGCACAGCCAGGAAAGCTTCATCTGGCTACTGATCATGGAGTTTGTTTTAGGTGAGGACCTAGAGAACGATGTCTCTTTAGGCTGCTGGTGAAGCCAAGCCAATTGCAATTAATCTGTCCCTTCCTCCAAAGCTCTGACTGCCTGGGAAAAAAGGTAATATACCGAGCAGCTATTTTTATCAGTAGAGTAAAATATCTTTTTCAGCAGGAAAAAAGGGCACAGTGCTGATTAAATTTAATGTTAAAAACACATTCTGTCCAGAATACGTAAGGAAAAACTTACCTTATAGTGGACTAGAGCCATGTGGTATTTAAAATATTTTAATACATATTTATAAACTTGATCAATTTGTCTGTCTACAGAATCTTGTGGAAGAAGAACGAAGTTGCTGATTATGAAGCTACAACATTTTCCATCTTCTATAACAACACCCTATTCCTGGTCTTGGTCATTGTTGCTTCCTTCTTTATATTGAAGAACTTCAACCCTACAGTGTATCCTTTTAAATGTTGATTAGCATTTTTTGAAGTCTAGAATCAATAGTTTGTTTCGGTTTTTGATTTATCCCAAGTATTTTACTGTGAAGAAAACTGCCCAGGGAATCAGTTCACTAAATAGCACTGTGACCTCAGGCAAGTTTCTGGACATTTTATTTTATTTTATTTTTTAAAGATTTTATTTGTTTGACAGAGAGAGACACAGCGAGAGAGGGAACACAAGCAGGGGGAGTGGGAGAGGGAGAAGCAGGCTTCCTGCCAAGCAGGGAGCCCGATGCGGGGCTCGATCCCAGGACCCTGGGATCATGACCTGAGCTGAAGGCAGACGCTTAACGACTGAGCCACCCAGGCGCCCCAAGTTTCTGGACATTTTAAATAAGGGCTTTGGGTTTGACTTAAAGTTCTTTGAAGTTTATAACTCCATGATAAATCACTCTTACATATATGATCATGTGTATCTTCCTATTTAAAAATAAGTTCTGAGGATCAAAAGCAACTTGTCTTCTTTGATAGCTCCTGGCATAAGCCCATGTGGCTGCTTTGGAATTGGGTGGATAGCCAGTGTAGTTATTTAGGCAGATTTCATAATATCTTAACAGTGTTTTAAGCTGCTCTTAAATTGAGCTTGTGGGCAAGAATCAGTCTTCTCTTTTTAGGTAATTTTAATTAAAGGTGTTAGGTAGGGATGTGCAGCCATACTTTTAAGTGGAGATTTTATGTAATAAAATAGACTCCTCCAACTTGTGTCTTCTGAGAATACTAGAGTGGTTTGCCCTCAATAGTCCCATTCTGAGGCTGAGAGTAGCTGTGAACTTTCAGAGCCTCCTTGCTTTTACAGGCCAACTGTAGCCAAAACACTGATGGACAGGGGAGACTTATTTTTCCTTTGCTCTTGGCTGGAGGCAGGGAAGCTAAGTTTCTTCTTCCTGTTCATAATCTTGATTAGCTCTTCTCCTTTAGGTTAAATGGAATTCAGATGTCTTCTTTGTGATCATGTGTTCTAGGTTTCTGTCTCAAGTGTTTTCTTTTTAAAATTGGAACACATTTCCTGTGAATGCTCTTCATTCTTTATAGCCTTCTGTCTTGTAAATTGCATTTGCAGACGATGGGACTGCACATCATTGTCATTTTACAGTGTCAGACGGGAAACAGTGCATTTCAAAGAGATGGGCTCTTTTTATTTTGTTGAAGAACTACTTTTGGGCTTTTAATCTTTCCTTAACGTTAAATTTTTACAGGAACTATATTTTATCCATAAGTGCTTCATCAGGCCTCATCGCCCTCCTGTCTACTGGCTCCAAGTAGACCGTGCCGGCTTTGCCCCCTGGCTTTGTATCTACGGGTGGCCTGTGGTATATGGAAACGTAGCAGGGTGGTCAGGGTGAGAGACACACAAGATGTTTTTATAGTCTGCAGTTGGAGGTTTTGAAAAACCCAACAAAATGTAATTCAGTATTTGTTTATTGGCTCTTTTTTGACAGATTGTTGAAATTAAATGAATTGAAAGGGAAACTCAGTGCCAGGACATTTTTTAAAAGGTAAAAAGTGTCTCGCAATGTGCTTAAATCACAAGAGGAGAAAATAACTTGTTTCCTTGATCTGTCAGAGGTCACAGTAACCTGGACTGAGCTGTTATTTATAATAGTAGCAAGAAGTTAATAAGTGGTTCTTTGTGTTCTAACTACAATATTGCAACTTTTGTGAACCATAAATATCAGAATGAAGAATCCTTTCCCCCTGGGGATTGAACAGAAGCCTCATGTTTACAAATCTCTGAATTTGTGATTTGAAATAACTCAAAAACAAGGTCTCCAATTTGGGGAGAGAAACTTGTGGAAAAGTGTTCTTTTGTTTTTTTAACAGAAGCGAGGCAGCCAGGGTAATAACCTAAAATTAGTGGCCAGGCATATGAGAGTTGTCCCGTGGGGTTAAAGCACATACTGTTCATCTGTATAGCCCTGCCTTGGGTGGCCAGGGAGGTCAGCTCAACCCTACCATGTTGGTTTGACCTGACCGAGAGACTGGAATCATTGTTTTCCTTGCCTAGGGTCTCACACCACTAGAGGAATATTCAATAGAGAACCTCCTTCCTGAATATTGATGTGTAAGAGATTAGAATAATGTTTATGATCTTAGTTCCAGAATTCTAAGAACTCTCCGAGGAATTGCAGTGGTTTTAGTGTTTCTATAGCATTTAGTGCAGCCTTTTTCCATCAGGACTTTCATAAATTTGACCTTTTTTTTTTTTTTTTTAAGATTTTATTTGTTTGAGAGAGCACAAGTGGGAGGGGCAGAGGGAGAGAGAATTTCACACAGACTTAGCACTCAGTGCAGGGCCTGACGTGGGACTCGATCCCAGGACCCTGAGATCATGACCTGCGCTGAAGGCAGATGCTTAAGCTGCTGAGCCACCCAGGCGCCCCAAATTTGACCCACAAGTTCCCATTGATTGTGAACAAAATTTCTTCATATTAACCTCTTTAGCCCCTAGAGTTCAGCCAAGAACATTGTCTTGCATTTCTTAATGTGTGCAGAGATAATTATCATTTTTTGGTGCAAAAAGTTGGGGAAGCTTTTTAGCTTGTATTATTTAAAGGGTTATGGAATAGGGGCACCTGGGTGGCTCAGTCATTAAGCATCTGCTTTCAGCTCAGGTCATGATTCCAGGGTCCTGGGATCGACCCTCGCATTGGGCTCCCTGCTCAGTGGGAAGCCTGCTTCTCCCTCTCACACTCCCCCTGCTTGTGTTCCCTCTCTCGCTGTGTCTGTCAAATAAATAAATAAAATCTTTAAAAAAAAAAAAATGGTTATGGAATAACAGTACTTCAAAAGAAATATTCTATTCCTAATTCCTAATCTTAACTTTAATCTTTAGTTTCCACTTCTAAATTTAAGGTGAATGTTGTAAATAATATTTGCTGTTTTGTTTATAACTTTATAGAAAGGTGTTCATCAGTTTATCTTCTATGGGCATGCCCAAGAACTTGGAAACCGGGGCAAGAGCACATTTGTATAGTGGTTTAGTGTCTTTAATTTAGGATTGTATTTACTCATTGTTAGGAGTTTGCAATTTACTTTTCTTTGGTGCATTATTATCCATGTGCCATCATTGGATAATATGGAATGAATGAGGAAGTCACAAGAAGAGTCACTGCAAAATATGTTAATACGTAAGAGGTTTTTCTTACTGTGTTAACTTTTTTTTGTAGATAACTAGTCAGTAGTTTGGTGGCATGGAGTTTGTGTACCAAATGCATTTACTTATTTGACAAACCATTAGGATCTATTTGTTAGCAGAGCTGGGCCTAGTGTTTTTTGGTTTGTTGTTTTTAATTGCTGGTAAAAAAACGCCACTAGATGGCAGTGCCTGTGTTGAAAGGGGGTGGGGGGGCAATTGCCACCATTCTTAACAATACGTGTACCTGAGATGGAGTGGTGAAAAAGGGGCATCAGCTTAATATTCTTCATAGAATGTCCCTTGAATTCATAAACTGAATAATTTGTAGAAAAGCAAATAAGCAAAATTTGATTTTGGTCCTGAATTTTACCTAGAGCACTTTTTGGTTCTGATAATGGTTTCTAACTTTCTATACTGTTGAATTTCTGTGCATACGTTTGTAAGGCATATACTCAGTTTTCATTCAGAATTTACTATACCACTACTTGGGAATTACAGAACTTTTCCCCCAGAACTCTCTCCATCATCGAAAATGGCTATGTGGTACATAGAATTATGATGTGCTGTATCTGGTTTAGTTACTAAAAACCTGTTGAAGAATTTATATCTTAAAAAGACCCCGTATCCAACACCAGTAAAATAAAAAGGGGATCTTTAAAAGTGATTAAATAACCTCCCCCCTTGTGGTAAGTAGAGGCTTAAAGTGTTGGCTCATTTCACATTTTCCTGTTTTTAGTTTCTCCTTTACAGCTTCATAAAAATCTGTTGGTTGTCCTGTTTGGTAAATTATTCTAACTTGGAAAGAATAACTTACAACAAGGTTTGAAGTTCACTGAAATGTGGAGGTTGGATTCCTACTCGAAAATCTTGTGAAAGGTCTTATTAAGTATGATTAAACTTTGTTTTTTAAATTTATGTTTTTCTTAGATATCTTTATGAGAGCCATGTGAATAAGTATGTCATCTTTATTACATTATTTGCCATTACCATTTAAATTTCCCACGCATGTAAATGCGCATTTTTGTAGTTGCTGATCAGATGTCTGCAGCAGTGATGGGCGTAATATGGTTGTGTGACAGAGCAGCGTGTCAGGCCTCTTTGCCAACATATGCCTGCTGTGCTTGTCCTGCCCACTGAACTTCTGGGTTTTCGGTGTGTGTGCCAGTCACTGCTGTTTCTGGAGACATAAAGGATACAGAGACATAGCACTGATCTACAGATCCATCTGTTTGGGCTCAAGGGGATTAGATCCCACCTCTTTGGACTCCCAGGTAGGGGAATGAATTGAAGATTAGGAGGGTTTTTTGAGTGGTTGGTTTAGATTTTCATGGATGTGGTTAGAGACTCACTTCTCATTGGCTTTCATGAGTTTTCATGACATCTCTTTGACCTTTGCCTCTTAACCAATTCTGAATTTGGATTCTTAACCCAAGCTTTTTTAACTTAAAAATTTACCTACAGAATTCATAAAATTCATCCTTAAAACACTGGTCTGGAACACTGAATACTTGGGTTTTAGGCCTGGTTTCCTCATTTGCCAAGGAGTGGTGGCCCTGGCTGATGTGAAGCTGTGACATCTGATGACAGATGGTATACTATTGTTGAGGAGTTCTTCAAGTGGGAAGCCAGGCACACAGCGTCTAGTTTGCATTTCCACTGGCTGAGATTACAGTATGTGGATGACTGCTAACCAGGTTACCCTTTGGAGTGGTATGCTCTCTGCTACAAAATTCTTTCCAGAAAAGAGTATGGGAGTACGTGGAAATTTTTCTTAAGGATATAACGGACATTTTTTTTTTTTTAAAGATTTTATTTATTTGAGAGAATGAGATAGCATGAGAGGGGGGAGGATCAGAGGGCGAAGCAGGCTCCCTGCTGAGGGAGTCCCTGCAGAACTCGATCCCAGGACTCCAGGATCATGACCTGAGCCGAAGGCAGCTTAACCAACTGAGCCACCCAAGCGCCCCATGACATTTCTAATCTAGTATGTTTACCATGGCGGATGATTTGTCTGTTAAAAAACTAGTTCCCGGGCACCTGGGATATATATTCCCTTATAATGAAAGATCAGATAAAAACCTCTACTTGAGATTAAATGCACAAAATGCTTTTATTACTCTAAGCAAATAAGTTAAATCGCAGTTCCAATTATACAACTTCAGCTCATTTATGCATACAGTAGTTCACTGGTTTAATACACAACAACTGAAGGATGATCCATCATTACTCTGGTACTCCTGGGCAAAAAAACCCAAACTGTTTCCTTATTAGAATACAGGTAGTAGTAACAAAAAAGAAAATTTAATGGTATTTCACACTAACAATTTAAGATTTAGAATTTAATCATGAAATACATATTTGGAAATGGTGGCAGAAAATAGCATTTTAAGCTGATAGTCTATTCTTTAAATCTTAAAGTGATTTCTGTATGGGGGTACTTGCTAGCCAGAAAATCGGTATTTTGTACATGCTCAGGTATCCAAATAGAGAAATAGGACTCCCCCCGCCCCCCCACCAGGTTTTCCCTCCTTACAGGTACACACAATATATTGTTAAAGTTTTTTTCAAGTGGAATATTCATGAGGGTAGGTAACCAGTCCGTAGTGGCAAGGTTAGCCCTCAGCTTGTGTGTGCAACAGGGCTAGGTCCCTTTGATCCATGCAGAGAGCTTTCATGCATTTAGTTTAGTGCATATAATGTGGTTATAGAATCAGGAAATATTTTAACATTTGCTTTTTACTAGGCAAGTTAATTCACCCAGCATAAGTTGAACAGTGACAGCATTTTTCACAAAGTCCATGATTCACTTTCATGTTAACTCCTCAAAAACAAGCATCCTATTGTAAAGTCCCAGTGCTAATTAAACAGTAAACAAACATTTGCCTTTATGGGTATTTTACAGGTTTACTTACAAAACTGAGCATGTGTATATTTTTAAAACTCAAATATTTAAACTTGCAGAAGCTGTGCCTACAAGCAGTTAAATATATAAAGCAGGTTTTAATAAAATGTAGTCAAAAATGAACACTGCAATTGTAGATACTACATTTTATTCAAGGCCTAAGCTTCCAAAGCAGTGTAATCCTCCCTTTCATAAATTAGGCATAATGTTTCAAGTTAAAGATTGGGTGTTCATCCTTTCACCATCTCTATGTGTGAATGGACATAATGTTAATAGAATCCTAATGGATACCTCAGGTAAATTACAATACAGGACATTCTTGGGGCCAGGCAACAGTGAATATTTTTAAAAGGTAATGAAAGCAAATACCTTGGAATTTTAGTTTTGTTGAATGACCGGTGAAACAACTCTTGCTAACCTTAATGTGGAACTAGAAACAAACAATGTGAAGTTGTTTCTGCTTATTCTCCCACGACTTCTGAGTTAACGTAGCCTGTTTCCGATGCAATCCACATTGCATCTGTGGATTTTATGCATTTTGGAAAAAATACATCTGTACAGCCTTAAGTTACTAAATGCCTGAAGGTAATCTGTCCTCCCCTCATACACTTCCTGTGGCATAAGCATGAGGTGTACAGAGCAATGCAAGAAGAGGTGACTCCAGTCCAAGATAAGAAAATAGAATGGATTTCCTTGGTTGTGAGTTTTCAGATGTGCTCGTAATTCAGGTGCACAGTGGTAGCGACAGCAGATACCTCAGAATCCGGGAATACTAGAGGTTGAGCAGCAGGCTGCTAAGTGACTCAAAAGGCTGGCTAGTGACCCCATTCTGTACCAGTAGAGACTGCAGTTTGAACCGTGCACATCCCGTGGCTCATGCACTGCCTTATGATCGGTAGTCCTTTTTGCTGTAGGGCTTGTTTCGCAATATGTTATCAATCTCATTTACCACATGTGATGTCATCTTCGGGAGAACCTGAGGAGCAGAAGTACAGAGGATATGGTTAGTACTTGATGGTCATTTGTTCATTGTGTAATATTAAGCAGAGTCGTCTAGACTTGTATACATTTATAATCCACAACTAGATGTAAGCCCGCCACCCAGACTGTAAGCTCCTTGAGGTCAGGGACCTTGTTTTTTTCACCATTGCATCTCCTGTGATAAGAGTGCTTGGCTCATAGTTGGTGCTTAGAAGTATTGCTGAACTGAATAAAGGCATAATGTATAAATGAAGGCTCATAGAAATACAATGAGTCACAGAATTTCAAATTTTCCAACGGCCACATAAAAGTGGAAAGAAACGTGAAATTAACATTTTTATTCCATTTATCTAAAACATTTCAACATGTCAGCACAGAAAATTAAAATGCCCTACATATTTTAAGTACTAAGTCTTTCAAATCCAGTACATTTAACACTTACAGTGCATCTCCATTCTGATAAGCTGGTTTCATGCACTAAAAGGCCATTTGTGGCTAGAGGCTAGGGTTGTGGACAGCACAGGTCTAGAGACTTAAGGAGAGATTCTCTGCCCCTGGTGGTCACAACCCTGGTGAAGGGTGGCCAGGGGTTAACAGGCATCCCTCGTAGCTGGACTGGCTTGGAAAACTGAGCAGTCTGAGATGGAGGGAAGAAAGTGTAGAGGGTGGTGATGGTAGAAATTAGGGGGAAAGGGAAGTTGGGGTCATCAGCATGGAAGGCCTCGAACGCCACTGTTTGGAGTTGGGACTTGATTCTTGGCAGCGGGGAACCTCTCAGGACTTCTGAGCTGGGAGCAACCCCGTCAGACACCTAGAGGTAGCTTGAAGGAGGAGATGGAAAGGGAACCCAGATGTTAGACATTTCTTGCTGCTGGAGCCAGAGATGATAAAAGCAGTAGCTAGTTAGTGGCAGTGGAGTAGAAAAGGAGAGTGGCTGGGAGAGACACTTTGGAGGCCGAGGAGGATTTCAAGACTGAAGGACTGGAAGGATGGCGATGTTGATCGTTGAGCCTGGGAACCACAGGAGGAGTGTGGAGTGCGAGAGGTTTTTGAAGTAGGAGGTGTTGAGATGAAGGTGCCTGGGGGATATCCGCGTCGGCACGGCTTGTAGGGAGCCGGGGGGAGCTGTGGATTGGTGCTGGCAGGAGGGCTGGAGTGGAGGGCTTGCGAGTTGCTTGCCACGGACACGCCTACCCACTGAAGCCTTGGGAGAGGACGAGCTCACCCAAGGCTAGAATTTATCCTGAGAAGGGACATTACACCATAAGGCAAGGGACAAAGGCAGACTTCTTCCTAGGAATAGACTGACCCTGTGTGGAGACTGTGGCAAAAGACAACGATGGTGGCCAGTTTTGAGGTTTCGGCCTTGCCCTTCCTCTGCTGCTGTCGTGTTGGCCGGGGTCTCCACTCCACCTAGTCTCCACTCAAGTGCTAGTCTCAAAAGCCTGAGGGTTTGGCAGAATAGTAGAGCTATGCCGCCTGAGAAACTAGTTCTGGGTAACGGTTTCCTAGCTGGAGCGAAAGCGGGAGAGTTTAATTTCCCACCAGCTTAGGAGTCTCAGAGAATTGAAATGAATATGTTCTTTTAAATGAGACTGCAACAAAGAGAACCAAATCTAGAAAGTAGATTTGTGGGAAGTTTTGTCTAAAATACAGTGGGTTAGCCGTGTGAGGAGAAAAAAATTCTTCATTCATTACGCCAAAGTAAATTTCAGATAGATTTAAACATTAAAAAAAGAAACCATAAAACGACTTGAATAAAACATGAAAAATGTATATATAGTGTTGTAAGACTTAAATTTTTAAGAAGCCATACATCCAGAATTTTACGTGAAGTCGCCCAATTTTTTAATGCTGGCAACTGTTGTAAAACATTTTCATCCACTACAGATTACACAGACATCCCACAGGCTACCAGTCTGGCAACCTTGCTGTTCTACTGACTGGAATAACTGGTGGGCTGAGGACACCAGGGAAGGAGTGGTGAGGGGAGATGAGCCCTGGATGTGAGAAGGGCCTGACCACTGAGAAGCCTGGATTTCTCTGAGCAGGTGATGGGGAGCCTCAGGGTGCGGAGAGAATTGCTTGTCTACTTTTTAGGTTTTTTTAGGGTGGGGGCATGTGCAGGTGATGGCAGGCTTCCTGCAGCTGTGGGGTCTCCTCTCCAGTCTTGCCCACTTAACTGAGGCTCTGATTTCTGTGTCCCTCCAATTGATGCATGTCTTCGGCACGTTCCATCCCTTGGAGCAGCTGACTCTGAAATTTCCTTTTTTTGACAACTGTTGGCACACTTTATCCTGCATCCAGTCCCACCACTGCTGGGTGCCCCTGGCTGCCCAGCCACAACTTGCCTAGGGTGGAATTTTCGGTGCTGGGCTGGCCGGAGGTAGGAGTGGAAAGGGGGAGGGGATGATAAAGCCTCCAAGGTAGCAGCCTCCCAGCTTGGGTAATGGTCCCTTTTCCCTTGACCGTTGGAGCATCTCTTCCCCCCCCATCCTGCTATCAGCCTGAGCCTTGCTAGGGGGCAAATGCTTTGGGAAGATGATGGACTCAGAGTTTTCCTCTGAAATATATATTTTTTAATTTTTTAAAAAATGTTATTTAATTTGCTACCTGGAATACTCCCCCAGCCATGGAGGTTTTTTTTGTTTTTTTAACCATTCCCAGGTAGTAGTAACTCCTCCTGGGATGGCAGTGGTCACTCTGTTAGCATGATAGGAATCCCAGTTTCTCCCTCTTGGCTAAGCCATCAGCAAGTCATGGTGTCTGTGTGCAAAGCCTGTGGAATCCATCCACTTCACCTCCACGGCCACCATCCTCGCTAGCCCCAGCCACCATCTCCTGTCACCTGGGCAACTGCCTTTGCCTTTCTTCATTCCACTTTCTACACAGCAGCCAGCACCATCTTTAAAAGTTCAAATAACAGCATGTCCCTCTTAAAATGCTCCCAAGGATTTGTGGCATGTACAACAAGACTAACCTGTTCAGCGTCCTGTGAAATCTGTCTCCTGCCTGCGTCCACTTCAGTGCACCCACTGCCCCTTGTGTTCACGACACGTTGGCCACATTAGCCTTAGGCTGGCGGTTTCTGGAAAAAGCCAAGTTCCTTCCCCTCTCCAGGCCTCTGCACTGTTCCCCACTGTGTCTGGAATGCTCATGCTTGGGTGTTGCACATTTCTCCTCTTCCCTGAGCTTTAGAATATGCATATCCCAGAGAGGCCTGGGGCAAAAACATCACCTAAAGTAGGCCCACCCCCTTCTCAATTAGTCTCTATCACAGAATCCTCTTCAGTTACTTAATAGTCCTCACATTTTGAAATTATTTCATGTTTATTACGTGCCTCTCCCACTGGAATGTAAACTCTTTGAAGCTCGGACAGTATCATTCTTGTTTCCTATGGTGTCTCCAGTGCCTGGTACGTAGTAGGTGCTCAAAAGATGTGAATGAACTAAGGGACAGATTTCTGAATTCACTCTCAGCCAGCCTGTGAGCTCGTGAGGGCAGAGGCCTGTTTTTTTCCTCAGTACTCTGCCTAGCGTGGTGCCAAACGTCTAATACATAAGAACTATGAATGGAATTGAAATCATTGGATTTTCCATTGTGTACAGACTGTACCTTTATTTCCTCCATTGTCATCCCTCCTTGTCTTTTCCCAGACCATAAGTGAAAATAAGGTAGGGGTGGTTTTCATAAGAGGGAGCATTCCCCACGCAGGGATGGAAGCCCACAGAATCCAGGAGGAGTTGGGGGCCTGCAAGGGGTTCTTTGTGGCAGGGGCAGAGGTGATTACCCTGCTGCAGAGCCCTAAGAAAGTGATGGGGGGAGGGAGGTTGGCACCATTTCTCTCCCAGCATATCCTGGGCTATTTGCCAAAAGGGTTTTAAACATTTCAAAAAGTTCAATGACGTTTGTTGCCATGTCCATGGGTTTCCTTTTGGGAGGGTTCACAAGGCTTGCTTCAGGGACAGGTGGGCGGGGGAGACCGTTCTGTTCCCCTAGGAGCAATAGGAAACTACACATCCATGCCGGTTTTGGTAGGTGGTGGCTGTGGCACGAGTAGTGGGCAGGCTCCTCCTCAGGACCCTCGGGCTGCGAGTGGCACAGGCTCAGGACTGAGGTGTGGCCCTCGGGGGTAGGGGATGGTCACAGTAGCCACCAGCCCCACCGTCTCCACAGATGGAATTCCCAGGAACATCGCAATCCCACTTCCCCTCTCACTGCCCTTACGGGCTCCCCAGAGCACAGCTGCAGGCTCCTACCAGTTCCTGTCCGTGCGGAGGAAAGAGTGGGTGGTTAGTCCTGAATTGGCTGCTAGGGAAGATGTGATCCTGGAAGTCCAAAATAGAATTTTGAGCCTAGTTCCTCTTTCAAATGCGGGAAACATTCATTCCACAGGTATTTGATGGCTGACTAAGGGATATGTAGTTTGCTGGGAACTGGAAAAGCAGTGGCGATGTGAGAAAGACACAGGTCTCTGACCTCAGGGAGCTTCCTGTCCGGCAGGGAAGACGGGTAATTCTATCACACGGTCGTAAATGCTGTGATGGAGGGGGAGGAACACAGGATGCTGTGGGAGCAGAAGGGGGCGGTTGGCACGATGTAGGTTGGCAGATATTTGGGGAAAGAACTAATGAATAAATGATGTACATACATTGTCCTGTGGCTATTACATTTCAAGCAGGTTTTTATGGTAAGTCCTGGGAACCCCGTCGCCCAGTGTCCCATTGCTTGGGTCTTGGAATGCACTATCCCACAACCCATCCTGAAGAATGAGCTTTGAGAACATCGCCTCTTCATAAGAGGACACCCTTGGATCCATGTACACTAAAGGTTCTATTGCTTCTTGTGCCTTTGCCCCCTGCACCCCCATCCTCTCCACCCCCCATCTAGGAACAGGTAGTCTTTGGGAAGCCATGACGCAATGAAGGACAGAGGTGGAGAGAGATGGGACACTGCCTGGGGACATCTTCTGAGGACCATGATACCCCTGGAGTTTGGTGGGAAGGGCCGTAGTACTTGCCTGAATGGCACCGAGGTTTTCAATGAGTTGTTCAGGAGTGGAGGACCCCAGGAGCACGGAACTCACACCTTCATTTCTCAGGCACCATGCTGGGAAGAAAGAACACATGGTCAGGATGTCAAAACACTTCTGCTTATTGATTAGCTTCTAAACACCACCTGTAACCCCCACTGTTGCAACCGAAACTTAGTAACTGGGGGGGGAGGATAGACCATGCTCTCTAGGATTAAAGACCTCAGCAGCAACCCCTATCCTGCAGAGGGTTTAGTAGAATCTGTGCGTTTGAGTTGAGGGCTTGGGGCTCACACACTTTTTGCATGAGGACTTGCCTCAACAGCTGGGGTATCCAGTTGAGCTGTCTACCCCAGGACCATGTTCTTGCTCCTGAAAACACCTGACCCTGCTCCCCGGCAGACGTCTGCATTCCTGTTTCCATCTTGGCCCACAGTCTGTCTTTCTCCATCTTATTCATGCTCTTGTTCCTCATCTGTTTTAGAGTCCTGTAGACCCTGGGTATCTTGTTCTTTGATTCTATCCAACTGTCAAACTCAGGATTTCCCTTTATTCCTAGTCTAAGATTCAACATGCCAGCCTTCAACCCTTTACTTCTCTCCTTCTGCCTCTCTAGCAACCTCCACCCTTAAACCCTCTATCCAGCCCCGTCCCCTCACTCTTGGCAGATGACCTGGCTTCCTACTGTATGTAGAAAATTAAGTCTATCAGGTGGTATATTCCTCAATAACCCACAAGCGCACATCCACACCCTCCAGTTTCAGAAGATGATGTGTCTGGTTTCTGTTCAAGGGCTTAAGTCTGCCCTGGATTGAATTCCTGTTGCCTTTTCTTGGACTTGATTGGTCATTGTTTCTCACTTTCTCTCCTGAATTTTAAATTTCTTACCACTTCCTTTATCAAATTTGTCCCATTCTAAAATTAGCCTACCTAACTTCTAAACGGCTAGTTTAGACTCCCTGAGAGGACTCCTTTGCCCTCTAGTCCCCTTCTTACCGTGTCAGAAGCCAAGTTCCTTAGGAACCTCCTTGTGATTACTGTAGATGTCTGCAACTAGAGGTGTCTGTAGACGCCTAGATGCAATGTCTGCTGGACACCCTGCTAGGTGTCCCATGGGCACTGCACACGGCTTACTACTTACTACTAAGCCTGTCTTTCTTGTGTTCCCAGTCTCATTTTGGGGCCATTACCCAGCAACTTGGCCTTCTAATCCCCAAACCGGGGTGTTATCCTTAGGAACTGTCCTTTTTCTGAGCCTGCATTCCCTTTTAATTGCCACATTTAGTTGATTATTCCTCTTAAATATTTCTGTGATCCAGCATGCATCAGAATCACCTGGAGGGCTCGAAAAACAACAGGGTGCCACCCCTGAGTTTCTCACTGAGAAGGGCTAGAGTGGGGCCCAGGGATCTGCATGTCAAACAAGCTTCCAGGTGCTGCTGATGCTGCTGGTCCAGGGACGATGCTTTTTCTGAAAACAACTTTGTTGGGGTAAAATTCCCCCATTTAATCATTCAATGATTTTTCATAAGTTTATCAAATGTGCAACCATCACCACTTACAGTTAATCCCATTTCTACCCCCAGTCCCAGGAAACCACTCATCTACTTTGTACCCCTATAAATTTTATTACTTCTGGACATTGAATTTAAATGGAATCCTATAACCTGGATCCTTTCTGTCTGACTTCTTTCACTCAGCATGATGTCGGTAAGGTTCACCCATGTTAATAGCATTTATTAGTAAATATTTCTGTTACTGCTGAATAGCAGCATTCTATCATGTGGATGTGGCCCACACTTGGAGAATCACTGCTCTGGTTCCACTGCCCACTGTCCTCATTCAGGACCTCACTGTCTCTCTCCTGCACAGCTGGTTTTCCCACCTCTTGACTGGATTTCCCCCTCCTTTTTCCCCATAATCTGTCACAGGAGTGACAAGAACAGCACATTTCCCAGGTACAAATCCGATCATGTCATGCCTGGTTAAAAGTTCTTCAACATGTATCTCACATAATCATTGTCTTATAAGATGAAGCTCTCATTTCTCATCCTGGCAAACTTACTAGAAAGCCTGCCTCTCCAGCTTCGTGTCTTCTCACTCCCTGCCTTGAACTTTGGGCTTCAGCAGCACTGAACTGTTGGTAAATCCTTTCCATCCCCAAACATCATGCTGTTTTTCTCCTCAAGTCCTCTGTTGAAGTGTACCCTTGGCCTGGAATGTCCCTCTGCCTCAGTAATCCCTCCTCGGTCATTTGAGACACCTCATGGGTACTGTCTTCTCCCACAGCCCTTCCCTGAATCCCAGGCTGGGTTGGGAGCCCCTACACTTTACTTAACTTCCATAATCCTCTGTGTCCTTGTCAGTTTATTACAACACTGTATTAAAGTTATCTATTTTATTTTCTTGTCTTGCCCATCAGGCTGTGAGATAGGTGGTGTTTGCACTTGGATGCTCAGCACCCAGCCTAGTACCTGCACATAGTAGGTGCTTATTACATGTTTGTTGAATAAACACAGGTGTGAATGATTGATGGGTGTCCCCAAGTATTCCTTCTGCCCCGTTTGCTCAGGCCCTGCAACAGATCCTCTTAAGCTGTTACCAGGCTCTGGCCTTTTGAGGCAATCACTAAATCTTTCCACATGGGCAAAATAATACTCTATATAGGCAAAACGGCAAGGGACCCAGGACCTTTTTTTTTTCCCCCTGGCTGCATTGTTTCCTGCTTTGCACTTAGAGAACTCTTTTGGCCTTGGTGTTAAGTATTGAGGTCAAAGCTGGGCACTGGGAAAATTCTTGCCCATAAACTACCCGATGTCAGCAATAGCGAATTTTCTCCATGGGCTGTAGGGCATAGGAGAACCAACTGGGCAGAACTGGCCAGCGTGATAACACATGCAGATGATTCTAGCTTCTAAGCAAGCGTCAGCAACAGCCCCGTCCAGAAAGCCTAGGAGCAAAGTGTGAAGGCTGGCTCCAGTGCAGGTGTGTGACATGGGAGGCAGCCCACACTTGAGTTCAAGCGGTTTGTTTCCTGCCAAAGGATCCTCCCTCCCCCTACTCCCTTCTAGCTGATCAAAGGTAATATGCCTGGAAATAATTTCCCTCTTGGTTTGAGAGTCCTGCGCTTAAAAGTGAAACTACTTGTTTATAAAGAAGGAAAAAAAAATGACAGGCAAGCAAGACATCTGGGGGCACAGAGGGAGGAAAGGGAGAATCAAAGCGTGTTTTAACTTAGACTCAGACTATAACTCTGAGTCTTTCATGCATATCTAACATCCAGTGAAAGTTTAAATCTGGTCAAGATTTCCTCTTGAGAAGGACACTTCTTCTCTTTCAGAGCTAAATTCAAAACTCACTGTCCTGTTACCACCTAAAACTGTATTTTGAACCAACCGTATTTCAAGAAGAGATGTTTCCCTGCTTGTCACGCTGACCACACACCATGGCTAGGAATGGACGGAGTTGTAGTTCCGAGGTGTCTCATTCTTTGCAAACAGAGCTTACTGAGCTTACTGAGCACCTACTCTTTGCTTTATATATATAATTTCCCTTTACTCAACAAATTTGTAAGACCTGTGTTACACGCATTTTATAGATGAGAAAATTGATAGGTTAAATAACTTGCTTATGGTCAAATGGCCAATACTTTTTTCAACAAGCTATAGGGATGCTAATAGTCACATTATTCTTTGACTTTTTTTTTGGAAGGACTAAAACAAGTCCTGTATGTATGTACCTGGGTAAATGATATTCCCCACCCTCTCCCCAGCTACCTCCCGTTTCTGTCTCCAGCTGCAGCCATTCCCTGCCTTCCAACCACAGAAGGATCTTGCATCTAACAATTACTGTGTCACGTTGTTTTGTTTTCATAGAACTTGAGTTTTTTGTGTCCTTATTTCACTGTATTGGAATAGCCCCAGTTCCTGCTGTTTCTTAACCCTTGGGAATTTTTTCTAGAATCTACAACCATTTTAGTCTTTTCTCATAGCTACCCTGTGGATTTTTTTTTTTTTTTTGTAACTTTCAGTTTCTTCATTTGTGAGGTGGAGATAATGATTGCAAATACTCCCTTAACATCTGTAAGGTAGGGCAAGTGACAGCATACGGCTCAAGGGATTGTTCTGATGCTTAAGGAGACCGTGAGCATGAAGCGCTGCTGTGGAGCAAGGGAGCTGAAAGTCTACAGGCTTTGCTGTTCGGTACCTAGCCTCTAAGCTACCTGTGACTATTGGAGATGTGAATTGAAATGTACTGTAGGTATAAAATACATTCTGGATTTTGAAGACTTAGTATGAAAAAAAGAATATAAAATATCTCAATAACTTTTTATAGTCATTGTGTGTTAAAATGATAATGTTTGGGCCATTACTGGGTTAAATAAAATCTGTCATTAAAATGAAGTTCACCTATTTCCTTTTTTTTAGTATGGCCACTAGAAAATTTAAATCTGTGGTTCACATTCTGTTTCTGTTGGACAGCACTGGTACATGTGGTTTTCAGCCATACGAGTGACCATGATGGTTCCTCAACTCCACAGTTAGAGCACTTTTCATGGCCCCTCAGGAAGTTGCAGAGTGAAGCTGCTCCTCTAGGATAGGCTTCCATGGGGGGTAGTAGCCTTGGGCCCCTGGCACCCCCAGCCCTGCATCTGGCCTGTCACCAGCCCCACCTTAGCTTCCACAGGGAGGGAAAATTAAGCCAGAAGAAATGGATGTCACTACACAATTGAGGGCCACTCATGTCAGACACCATGGGGATGTATGTGTTTTCACTTAGTCTCATTTAAACGGCGTTCTAAGGGCTAGAAGAAGGAAATGTTTTAACATGTAGAAAATTCTAGGGAACTTTGAAAACTTTGTTTTAGATAATATTAACCAGGAGCTTATGCTTCAGAGATCAGTCTGCCCCTTACACTAGATACTTTATCATGATAGGGATGTGAAAACTATTTTCTGTGATCTAGCAAAGCCTCCCCCCCCCCCCCGCCCCGGTCATTTTCTTACCAACAGCTAGCTGAGGTAGTGTGCATCCCAGACGCTCAGCAATTGGGGAAAGGTCTTTTAGTTTGTTTTGCTGTTTTCGGCCTTCTTCACTTACAATTCTTTCCTTCAGCCACTGGTAGCACTAGGGAGAAGAAGATCATTTAAATGTCAATGGCTGGTAAGGGTTTGAGGCAAAGATTGTTAAATCGGTAAAATAGGAGGCCCTCATGGTGAATTCCTGAATCTTCTTCCCTAAACTTTGTTTTGTGGTGACCAGATGCCTGTGCTTTTAGGCAAAGAGATGTTCCCCATGGTCTCACTCCTTGTTTATTGGTTCAAGACAGATTGATTTTGACTAATAGTCACCATTCAAATCCATCAACATGCATGGAAGTTACTAAAATCCTGACATACAATTATATATAGTCTGCTAAGTGGAGGAAATGATGTTTCTTATTGCAATAGCCCAACTTTAGAATGTAGCAAAAAAAAAAAAAATACTGACATTTCAGCAAGGTCTGTTAGGTTTCCTTTCTGTTGGACAGCACTGGTACTGCTGGGTGAAGGCTGGGTGCCAAGCTTTCTGTTCAAAGAAAGCCATTATCTTAACATTCTTTTGTAATTATCTTTCTCCCTCTTGCTAGTCTCCTATTTTTTTTTTTTTTTTTAAGATTGTATTTATTTGAGAGAGAGGGAGCACACACGAGCTGGGTGAGGGGCAGGGGGAGAAGCAGACTCCTCGCTGAGCAGGGAGCCCAATGTGGGGCTCGATCCCAGGACCCTGGGATCATGACCTGAGCCAAAGGCAGCCACTTAACCAACTGAGCCACCCAGGTGTCCTGCCAGTCTCCTATTCTTACAGCAGGGTTTTCTTTTTCTTGTTAAGATTTTAATAGAGAGAGAACAAGCACAAGTAGGCAGAGCGGCAGGCAGAGGGAGAGGGAGAAGCAGGCTCCCTGGGAGCCCGCTGCGGGGCTCGATCCCAGGGCTCTGGGATCATGACCTGAGCCGAAGGCAGACGCTTAACACACTGAGCCACCCAGGTGCCCCACAGCAGGGCTTTCTTGTGAGCTCTCTCAGCTCCTTCCTCAAAGCAGACAAGCATAACTAAAAGGTACCCAAGTACATTTTAAAAATTTTGAAGTTGATAAAGACTATCCCAAAAGTGTATTATCTTTTGTATAGTGATTGAAACTTTAAAAGGTAAGGAAACTCAGAACAGGAAACTCTCTGTAAAACCTCTGAGAAGAGACTGACTCTCATTGGTAGCCTATAAAGTGAGCTAACTTCCTAAATAGAAGGAGACAAATCTTTTAGAACTTCTCAATGCCTTGCTTCCCCAAAGGTTCTGCTCTTATTAAGAAATGAGGGACAATAGGATGTTCTCTACAAAACACTAAGCAGCAACATCCAAAAGTAACAAATATTTGTAAGAATGTGTTTTAGTGAAAATAATAGAAAACATCCTCCTGTGTGGCAATGTGGACTTTATCCGCTGTGTTTGCGAAATAGTTGTCACCGCAGACCTTTACCTTCCCAAAGGCAGCCAATCATCACAGACACTCCACCCACATCATTTCAATAAGGCTGCTTGCTTTTGTTTTTTAAGTACTTTTTTCTTCATTCTAAGACAGTATTTCCAAAGAAAAAGGGTAACCACATTACGTTTTATTATGATTTTTGAAATGATTTTGCAGATGTGAAAAAGAGAAAGGGCAAGCTGCCCCAGTTCTGTTTGCTTTCTAGATCTCAAAGGCGTATGGTCTGGCTCCTCACTTGAGAGTTTGCTTAGGGAGATGGCCAAGAGTCTTCCCAGCTTCAGCTCTGGGAAACCTCAGCTTCTTCCAGGACGAACGGTAGCCTGGAGCACCTTTCCAGAGACGACAGCTGGTGCTAGGGGTAATGAGTTGGGCCTTGAGACAATGAACACTGCCATCAGGGCCCTGGAGCCTTCCCTGACCAGACCTGTGTGCTGGGTAGAGAGTGTGCTGGGTCAGAGCGCCCCTGAACTTAACTTCCCCTGTCCTAGTGGAGAAACATTAAAACGTTACCAGCCCTCACTTTAGTTTCATAACACCTTTCAGGGGACCGGTAGCCCTGAGCGTTCTTCAAAGGAAAAAATAAAAGGGTTGAAAACCAATCGCTGAATGATTGCTTTTCATTGTAACTAGGAGCGTTCTTGAAGTTTCAATATATACCACACACATAAGGAATGGTTGTTGTTGTTGTTTTTTTTTTTTTAAAGATTTTATTTATTTGACAGAGAGAGATACACAGCGAGAGAGAGAACACAAGCAGGGGGAGTGGGAGAGGGAGAAGCAGGCTTCCCGCAGAGCAGGGAGCCTGATGCGGGGCTTGATCCCAGGACCCTGGGATCATGACCTGAGCTGAAGGCAGACGCTTAACGACTGAGCCACCCAGGCGCCACCAGGAATGGTTGTTTTATCAATCACTTACAGAACTCCATTTTTGAAACCTTATCATGTGGAGTGCATTTGTACGCTTAGGGTCGAGTTACAAGTTTGTGTGTATGTGTGTGTGCATGTCCACACACGCGCACATACAACATACTGAGAGACAGACTTGTAAAAGTAACAAACATCAGACATTCATTTATTGAGTCACTCTCTCCCTACACTCAACACTATAAATCTTGTTGCTTTAATCATTGGAAAACATAAGCAGGCTAAGGTTTATAAAAAGTAGACACATAGTATTTATACTGCTTTTCCTCATACCAAAGGGAACAAAAGTGTTTTTGGAAATAAATAGCTTTAACTGCTTTGCAAGTGGGAAATGTTAGCATAGAGAGGAGATGAGGCTTAATTAAAATATAAATATGGAAGCGAACCAGTGTTTTTTGTAAGAAGATTGGTGGTGAGTGTGGTTGGGTGCGACAATACACCCAGCTTGTTGGCTGGGCAGTCCTCCACGAGTCAAAGCTGATTTTTTCCCTTCCAACCCTGTTATCCTGCTCACCCCATTGCTGCAGTGACTTGCTCACGTGTTGATCTTTCTTTCTAACTAAATGGAGGAGGGCAGGGACAGGCTTCTTGTTCATCTCAACATCTCCGGTCCTGACACAGTGCTTGCCACAGAGCAGGGCCTCCGCCAGTATGACCGTGAGGGAGGAATCTGAGCAACCAGGGCTCCACAGGGTAAAAAATAGATCTCTTCAATGTTTCCGATGAGCACAGACACCCCCTCCTTATTCCAGTACAACTTTGCGGACAGTCCAGTGTGACTCTGTAGTGCTTGTGGATTCCACACTGTTTCATAATTCACCCCTTCCCATATCTAATAAGTCCCCAAGTTACCCCTTGAAGGTGGGGACTGTCGCCTTCTTCCCTGTATCCTAAGCACTCAACACAGAGCCCAGCACTGACTAGATACTCCGTAAGTATTTGCCAAAGAAAACATGAGCTTTTCTGCACAGTTTAGGGGGCTATTGGTTTTATACAGAAGTCACAAAATTCTCTCATTTTTCCTAAAGCCTATTGATTTGCCATCTCCCAGTGCTGTGACCACTGAACAGGTAATGCTGGGGGTGGGAGCAGTCTGCGGGACTGGCCCTGAAGCCTCCAGTTGGCTGGTTGCTAATAATGGATTGAAACTCAGGCAGCATCTATAAAGCCATGGACAGAGTAAGTCACGTTTCATCTCTGGACTTTGTCTTGGAATAATTTAGCATCCAAGATCACTGACTCTTATAATTTAAACTTCAAAATCTTTGGCTCAAAAGAGCAGCACAGTCTTTTGATATTGAGGTTGAAATCTCTAGGTAAACTGCTGAAGCTAAAAAATTTCCTTCTGAAACTACACCGTGATGTGCAATACTTTTAGTTGCTTAAAGTGAACACCTAGAGTACTCGAACTGCCACTCTTCCCCCACCTTGATTCACCTAAGTTTGCATCGTCCTGTTTTCATTTGACAGAGGGGGTACATATTTTTATGATTTTTCTATAAGGCATTTTGCTAGCAACAAGAAAGAGCTGCCCGTAAATTTTATTGCACTTTTCATTTCTATTTAAAATGTCTATTTAAAAGCCACACACCTGGTCCGTTGATCAGACTTTGTTGATCTTCCGTTATGGCTCATTTCACCCATTCAACAAACATTTACTGAGTACCTGTCATGTGCCAGGCTCTGTGATGAGCTACCTGAGTTTCAGTGTCTGTCCTAGAGACATTCACAAATCACCGTCTGGTAGCTTGAGGATTGTTTTGTAGTTGGGGTGCCTCCCTCAGAAGCCGTGTTTGTACTGCCTCCTTATGGAAAATGCCTCTCCTGATGGTGCATGACAGGAGTGGTCATAGCACTTTACTGTTTGGGTCACTGTCATTGGTCTTACAAGTTGGCACATGACCCAAGTTTGGCCAGTCTTCCCTGGACGGAAGTCATAAGGAAAGCTAGCTCTCTACTCTCTCACATTACATGTCTGTAAGGATGTAAACCTGCAAAGCAGTTTTCCCACTCCTGACCTCATGGAGAGGACCCGTTTGCAGTAGAAGACAACATCCACATTCAGAGAGAAATAGAGGAGATGGAGAGTCCTAACAATGTACAAGTCTATGGTTGGAGTCAACCCTGAGACCATCTCCATTCCATCCTTCCCAGCAAGTATTTATATGTTCCCCTTCTTTGATTAAATTAGTTGAATTAAATTCTTTTGCTTGCAACAGGAGAATTCTAAGACTCTGTAAGAAGTGTTAATGGAATAATAGAGGAAGATGCAAATAATTCAGTTTTATAAAGTGAGGACAGGCTTCATAGAGGTGAAGATAGCCAAGCTTTGTCTTTAGTAATGAGGGCTTCCATCACAAGATGAAAAGAAGGGCATTTCTGGGAGGCAAAGGAGAGTACAGGGCTTTTGGATGAACAATACAGTGATGTAACATGGGGAAAGACAAGAACGGAAAAGTGGGCACAACTTAGATCCCAAGGGTATTTCCTTGAATGCTTTTCTGTGGGTTTTGGGTTTTGTCCTATAAGCAATGACTGGGAAGTGAGTAACAGACTTTAAGCAGGGTTATGATATGGTCAGATTAGTCTCTCAGAAAGATAATTGGTTGCAGTGATGGGTAGTTGACAAAAGGGGGAAAAAAATTAGGGAATGCAGACAGGAGGTTACTGCAGCAAAGCAGGGAAGAAATGATGATGGTCTGAACTGAACAAGGGCTGTGCAGGGATGGGCCATGGTCAGGAAGTGGCCTGGAGGAGTGGGGGCCCCACTAGACAAGAGTGAGGGAGGAGAGGGGGCAGTCTGACATAACCCTTGGCTTCTGACTGGGATGGCCAGATGGAGGGTGGAGGCACGGTTAACCATGAAGGAAGGGTAAGTTCTGGGGGGTGATGACAGATTCCACTAGGCATGACTAATGCCCACGGGAGATGTCTAACAGCCACGTGAGGAAGTGGTAGTGTACAGCTGAGCAGTGAAGACGAGGTGGTGACAAAAGATTTTAGAAGTCACTGTTAGAGCAGCGGACCAGATGCAGCCTTCCAGAAAACCCCCAGGTTGTGTTACTTTCTAAAAGACCCCCACCAGATAGGTATTTTTCACACTGCGTTCTCTTTCAAATACAAGTTCAGTACTTACAACAGCATGAAATGTCAGTGTCTGTTTTATTGGTATAACTTAGACTAGCTAATGTGAAACACCAGCCATTTATTCTGTTTGGGGTAGGGGTAGGTAAAAGCTGCTAACTTATTTATCTTCTTGCCTAGCATTCAATCTTTAATTTTTTGTTTGTTTGTTCCAGTTACTCTATTCAAGTTTCCCCTTTTTTTTAAAGCAATTTTATTTTTCATTTTAAGTTGACTCCATGCCCAGTATGGGGTTCGAACTCACGACTTTGAGACCAAGAGCTGCATCCTCTACTAACTGAGCCAGCCAGGTGCCCCATAAGTGGCATTTCCAAGTGCACATATATTAGTATGGAAAACACTGGGGGCTAATGATTTAGGAAGGCTTGAGAGTCTATGGAGCTCTAAAGAAGCTGCTTTGTGATCAGAAAGAGGCCTTTAACCTGTTGAGAGCCCTTCATGTTTATTGTTAAGGATGTTTCAATAGATGTTGACTTTATCAAAGTCAACAATAGAAATATTTTTGAGTTGCTTTTGGACTTAGCCACCTTCAAGTATTTTGTATCTCCTTATTTTATTATTATTTTTTTACTTTCTCTTTTTGTTAATGCATTTGTGAAATTTTTTTTTTTAGCTGTTTGTAAGCTTTTTCCAAATAATGATGGAGGTCAGCCAATCTTACACTCCAAATACAGTACGGCTACTTCTTCCTCCATTAGAAACCTGGGTTTGCAGGGAGACAAAAATGTCTTTGGGGGAGATAAACAGAGCCAGGAAACCTGAGTTCTAGTATAAACTCTCTCTATTATGAGTTTATGCTCTTGGATTATTATTTGACCTCTTTGTGCTCAGTTTCTACATCTGGAAAGGTTTACCCTCTTATAAGGATAGTCACTACTCAGCACATGTGGAAGTACTTTGAGTTTTTAAAAACATCTCTGACGGGGGCGCCTGGGTGGCTCAGTCAGTTAAGTGTCTGCCTTCAGCTCAGGTCATGATCCCGGGGGTCCTAGGATCGAGTCCCACATCAGGCTCCCTCCTCAGCAGGGAGTCTGCTTCTGCCTCTTCTGTGTGCTTGTGCTTGTGTGCGCATGCATGCTCTCTCACCCTCTCTCAAATAAATAGTCTTAAAAAAAAAGTCTCTGAAAGAATGTAAGGCAACATGCTTAGCTACACCTGATTAAGAGTCATCTGTATCCATTTATCTTTGTGTGGATTAAAGGAGATGAATAAAAATGCTTAGCCCAATGCTTGGCACGGAGTAGATGCTCAGTAAAATCGCAATTTTCAGTGCTTCCCTTTCTTCTTTGCTCTTTTTGCCTTTCGCCGTTCATACCTTCTTCCCTAAGATGCTTTTAGTTTTTCCTTGCTAACTTATTTAAACTGGGTTCAGAACAATGCACAATTTTCAGAAGCAAGACCACAATTAATATTCTAAGATAATTATATTTTGTGATAATGCCAAGCTAGAAATAGGCATGTCACCATGCTTTAGGAGATATTTATATTATTTTAGACAACAAACTAATAGGTCAACTGTAACAAGCAGAAAGAGTGGGAGACCTAGAGCCTTGAGACGGTTCTGATTAGCGAAGCATGCAGTCGTCCCAGCAAGTTGATTACAGGGTTGGTGGTTTGGGCCTAACTTGGGCTGTCCTTCAGCTAACTTTGTGCTTATGGAAGCAAGAGGTTGTGTCAGACTTCTACTTCTTAGGGGCCTCTGCCATGTCTGAATTTTAAAAATGCCAATATTCTCTCTCCCTTGACATTACCATTTATGATTCTAATGTTATTACACATTGTCTCAAGTTTTTAAAAACAGGTTGTTAATGAGGGCTGTCTGGAGTACTCTCAAATAAATTAATCATCAAGATGTTCTGAATGGAAGTTATTTTATGTCAGTGATGTCAAATATCTTTATGCTTCAGAGAAGAATTTAAACTGTAAGACTACGTGGCCAGTTGATCTCTGCGAAAAACACCAGCCTTGAGCCTGGGTGACAGGCTTGCCTGGCTATGTATCTTGCTTCCCGAACCCTCCCTCTTACCCCACACCCCCACACAGTAAACAACATCAATCCACCTCGAGCCCCACTCAGCTACAGTTGGTTTACCCCAATTGTTTTGTCAAGAAAAGTAAAAATAGATCCTCTCATAAAGGAAAGGGATTTTACATTTCATCAATTTCCAGGGAGGGATGAAATGCCTTCTTTAACATAAGAATAAATAACGGTAGGGATTTGAGCCCTATAAACCTAACCAGGGCACTGGGCATTTCCCCCCAGGCCCCAGAGGAGGAGAATTTTCTGTGCGGACAGACATGGCTGCTGACTGATGCCGGCCCGGAGCAGAGGTCTCCTGGGGGCTTGAGGGAGCCTGCCTGAGGACACTGGCCAAGCCGCGCACTGCCTGAGCCAGGAAGCACAGGCTGCTGTGGAGCTGTCCTGTTCAGTCTTCTTCCGTCCCTCTCTCCCATCCCCAGACGCTTTTCTAGAAGTGGGGGAAAATACCTTCAGTGAAGCCCTAGAACTCTCAGGCACTCCATTTCCATATTTTCCTGAGATGATTCCACAGGCAAGTGGAGACCATGTCATTGCTCCAACTCCTACAGAAGAAAAAAACTGAGTAAGTTGCTTGTGCAAAGGGAGATTAAAAGTGTGGGAGTGTTTAAAATAGGACTTGGTTAGTTACAGGAAAACGGCTAGTCAGATAAGTAAGTTAATACCAGCAGATGTCTTTTCATTAATATTTATTTATTTAATATAAAAAACAATTTATTTATTTGAGAGAGAGAGAGAGAAAAGAGAGATCACGAGTGGTGGGGAGGGGCAGAAGGAGAAGCAGGCTCCCCGCTGAGCAGGGACCCTGCTCCATCCCAGGACCCTGGGATCATGACCCGAGCTGAAGACAGACGCTTAACCGACTGAGCCACCCAGGCGCCCCTAAAATTGAGTTATTTATAGGTTGTGCTTCATTTTTATGAATCAATTGAACATGTACTGTCAGTTATACGGAGCGGGCCTTGTTTTCAAGCCAAACAAGCCTAAAAATGTGGCTCACTCTTAATTTGCTGATGTCCAAAATGGATGTTTCTTTTTATACTCAGAGACAAACACTGACTTGCACAGGCGAACGCTCCAGTGTTCCACTCGTCCCCTGAGTGCCTATTTAGAGCTTGGTTCATAGCGGCACCGTGCCTACCGCAGAGGAAACATATAGCCAGTGCCAGCAATTATGAGGGTTACTGCTGTTGGCTTTTGTAATCTTTTTTCTCCTTACTCAGCATTTTCCTGCTCTATTTCTTAGGAACCTCTATTTTTTAGGAAGAAAGTTATCTCTGGACACTGTTGTGATACATGAGGCTGAAAATGTGGCTTATTCATGTTTTTTGTATGTCCAAAATTCTTATGTATATGTTATATACATAAGAATGTATATATACACACACATATACATACACACACATATATGTGTGTGTGTGTATATATATATACACATATACATACATACATTTCTTTCCTTTCTTTGAAATTATTACATCTACCTACACAGACATGTAGTGCTAGGCCTGTCAGGCAGTCTTTTTTTTTTCTAAAAATCATGCTTCATTATCTCCCTCAGACAGACTGTCGCATAACACCACCCCATCCCTCCCACCCCACCCCCCACTCCAGCAACCCTCAGTTTGTTTCCTGCAATTAAGAATTCCTCATATCAGTGAGATCATATGATACATGTCTTTCTCTGTTTGACTTATTTCACTCAACATAATACCTTTCAGTTCCATCCACGTTGTTGCAAATGGCAAGATCTCATTCCTTTTGATGGCTGCATAATATTCCATTGTGTATGTATGTATGTATGTATGTATGTGTATATATATACACATACATACACACACACCACATCTTCTTTATCCATTCATCTGTCGATGGACATCTTGGCTCTTTCCACAGTTTGGCTATTATGGACATTGCTGCTATAAACATTGGGGTGCACGTACCCTTTCGGATCCCTACTTTTGTATCTTTGGGATAAATACCCAGTAGTGCAATTGCTGGGTCATAGGGTAGCTCTATTTTCAACTTTTTGAGGAACCTCCATACTGTTTTCCAGAGTGGCTGCACCAGCTTGCATTCCCACCAACAGTGTAGGAGGCTCCCCTTTCTCCGCATCCCCGAGTCAGGCAGTCTTAAACTCCCCATGTCTAGCTTAGTTCCAGGCACAGAGTAGAAGATATAGATGTATAGATCCATAATTGTCTTTGGAAAGACAGTTATAATCTACTCAAAGACGCATGCTTGGTTAGAGAAGCACCCTACAGAAAAAAATGAGTTTACTCATCGTTTCTACCCTTCTTTCTACACGCATTTTCGAACACCTCCTGAGTACAGCTTGTACACCAGTCACAATTTACAACTGCTTGGATTTCATCAGTAATACCCTACAGACTACCCTGTAGGCACATTTGATTATTCTGTAGTCAGAAATGGATAGTTCTCACAATCTCTCTGTTAGTTAGGAACATTAAGGAAAGCATTTTGGTAACACTTGTTTCTGGATCACTGATACTCCTATTGTTAAAAGTAATCAGTAAATTTGATTGTGAAGATTACCTATTTTATGGTAGAGCTCTGGTAGCTGAACCTCCACTTTCTCTCTCTGAAAAAGATGGTACTCAGCTTGTTCACAGACCGGTGGGATCATATTGAACTGCCTTGCTACAGAATAGGCTTCCTAGGAAGAAATAAGATTGTAACTGAATTTATACTCATGAGAAATAAGGCTGCTCTATGATTCATGTGCATGAGAAAACTTCGTTTCAATGAAATCAGTACAAACCAAGAAACATGTAGGATGGCAAATAATAAGCAAAGTTGTGACCATCAATCTCACTAAGAGAAATATCAAACACAGGAAATCCTTATTATTCTTTGGGAGGGTCTGGATTGAGTAAAGTCCAGGGCAAATTAGTCAACATGAGAACCATAATAGCCCATGACAAATCCATAATTTTTATTCCTAAAGAAATAAAACTCAGACTAACATATACAAATGATGTGTCATTAGTGTGTTATAAACAGTATAGTTATTTAATACAGTTTTTAAAAAAGGAAGCCAGACTATTTTGTTCATGTATCTCATTAGCTGGGAAATTCATTGTATCCTCTTGTCACCGAAGAACATGCAAGAATATGATTCCTGCTAGAGACCTGCACCTTCCCTGTTGTATTCTGAGCTGATGAGATCCAGCCCCCGTATCTATCTCTGGAATGACAGAATTGATCATAGCATTCTAGTGTCATGGTGATTATTAGGAAAATTTGCAAAAGGTCTTATAATTTACACATAGTATCTGAAAAACAATAATAAAGTATTTAACGGCCATTTGAGAACAGAAATGAAATTACCATGATCTCCATAGCACTCCACCGCGAGGTCCCCCAATACATCGCCATTCCTTGGTTTATCACATGTGTCATGGCTCGAACAATTTCTATAGAAGGCCAAACAGTATTTAATTAGTTTCTCTACTTTTCAGAGTTATGTGATCTTTTTTTTTCCCTGCCCAAAGCTTAGAAGTTTAATGCAATTATTTGTCTTATTAATATAATTACTTTGACATTGGTGACTACATAATAGTCTAACATGAAATATTGATAGTTTGGAGGCTGCTGGTACTTTTGGGTAAACTGACTTTCCATTTTCAGTTTGCAGCACTACTACTAAATGATACTAAAGACATAATGACAACTTTAAGTTCTTCCTTTACTTTTATTACTTCATGGTTGCTGCCCTGTAAAAGAACATATGATTAACCTTTCTCAAAGCCTGGGTACCTTACTAAAGTGAGAAGTAAGAGGAAGCATTGATTTTGACTTTGTAGAACGTAAGGTCACTGATGATAGAAGGCCTCTCTTTGTGTGTTGAATTTGCAGAGCTGGGCCTCACACAGGGTGTCTGTGTAATAGAGATGACTCAACAACAATATGTTTAGCAGAAAGATAAACATATTAAATGCTGCACAAACAGCTGAGCCACAGTGGCTCCCAGCCCACAATGGCACACCCTGTCCTTGACCACTTCGAACTAAACTTTATTCTGAGACATCCATGTAATGCACTTCATCAGGGGCTGCTTTATGGCCCCATGGAGTTTGCTCATCAGCTTCTTTCAGCTTGACATCACATTGCCTAAACAGGAGAATGAATCCTTTCCACGGAGAGCTGGAGTTGAGCTAATCCTCTTGGCACCAGCTAGATGTGATACAAAACCAGAGAGCATGGAGAGCCTCAAGTTCAGTGGCGTGAAAAGTCAAAGGCATGGCTGGATTTCTTCCACAAATCAGGTCAAATACCCAAGATGCCGGGTCGTTTGACATTTTCAAGGGGTTGCAGGCCTCAGACTTCTCTGTGTCCTACTAATACCTGTAGGGTACATGTCCTTCAGAAAAATCAAATCCTTGTCTCAAAGTTGAGTTGAGGTGGATGTATTCTTATTTCTCACGAGCAAGCACTATCTAAATTGGTAGGTGACAGGATATAGAGTGAGACAGCCAGGGTTAGGGACTTGGCTTCCTTGCTTACTTGGCTTTTAAATTGCCCTTGGTTTCTTTGTTTGGAAGATAGGAACGCTTTTCCTCACCATTATCTACTCAACAGAGGTAGAATTTGGCTTTTAAGAAAAATATTTTTCTTTCTTGGAGAAAGACTCCCAAATATCAGGCTATTCCTCCGCAACTAAAACTACAAGTTCCTTTTCCCTTAATAAAGCGAATGAGATACAGAAAAGTTCTATGAAACATTTTCCTTTTATCATACAACTGGAAATGAGTGCCTATGGAAGTAGAACATTTCTGGAAGTAGAGAGCCATTATTTAAACCTCTTCCCAGAAGCACTCGCTCTGTTTGGACCCCTCCATGGTCACACCAGCCCCCTTCCCTTCACACCGTGTTTCATTCAGAGCTAAGGAGTCCATTCCATCAGCAGTATTTATTAAGTGTCTGCTGCGCTAGATGCTGGGGTTATTGTGGTCAATCAAACATGCTGGTAACCGCTGGTGAGGTTAACAGAGAATAAATGGAACCCGAGCCCCCCGACCCCCTGCCCTGTCTCTATTCTGCAATCAGTAAGATGAGCACTGGACAGTTGAGTGGCTGGTCGGCACTGAGGCTTTGACAAGAGCAGTTAAGATGAAATGGCGGTTGTGGCTCTTTCTGTACCTTCATTCACTTATTCAACACTCACATACTAAAAACCTAGTATTTGCCAGGGACTATGCCAGTTGCTGGGTTCATCTGTGAGCAAAACAAATACGGAGCTTCTGGGCTCAGGGAGTTGAAAGGGGGAGATGAGGATGTACACAAGGAAGTAATTACAAAATGTGAAGTGTTGTGAAGAAAACAAACAGGGTCTGAGATAAGGAATGAGGTCAAGGAAGATCTCCCTGAGGAGTAATGTTTAGGCATCAAGAATAAAGGAGCCAGCCGTGTGAAGAACAAGGAAAGAGCATTCATTCTAGGCAGATGGAACAGCATGTACAGGACAGGGCTTAGTGAGTTCTGGCAATCAGAAGGCAGCCCATTGTGGCAGGAGATGAGTGAGGAAGGAGGATGGGGGTAGAAGGTACAGTTGGCAGAGGGCAAACCATGTTGTTTGTATGTTATTCAAAGTTTAGTGGGAAGGCAACAAGAGGATGTAGTTTACATTTTATAACACTCTTTCTGACTCAGCCGTAGGGAATCAGTTGGGAGGGGGAGGGCTGGAGGGAGCAGGAAGAACTTTAGGAAGGAATCGTAGTATTCCAGGCAGGAGATGAGAGTGGTGGTAGTAAAGACAGACAGATACGGATGGATTCAAAATGTATTTTGGTAGAATCCACCAGGCTTGAGGATGGACTGAATGTAGCAAGTGAGGAAAAGGAAGGAATCAAGACAATCTCCCAGATATCTGGCCATTTACAGGGTTGAGGAAACTGAGGGAGCAACAGGTTTGGGGAGAAAAATCAAGGGTTCCTCTTTGAATGTGCGACGAATGGAGATGCCTGCAAGATACTAAGGGGGAGATGTTGAGTAGAAAGCAGTGGACGAATGTCATGGTCAGCAACCCAGGCTGGAGATGACATATTTATCACCGATCAGTCTATTAGTTGTCTTGAAATTCACAGCAGCAGATGAGACTATGTAAGGGGAGTCTGCCGAGGACACAGAAAAGGTTCTACAAGCCAGCCCAGGAGTCAGAGAGAGCACATGGCAAGGTTCTGGTTTATCCGTGGCCAGAGGAGCAGGAAGGAAGCCAGGTCATGGGATGTTGCAGAATCAAGAGCAGAGAGTGCTTGGAGAAGGAGCGGTGCCCACAGAGTGGAACACTCTGAGCATTCAGATCAGAGGGTACAACGCAGTGTCCGCTGGCTTTGGCACATGCCAGGGAGGTCCTTGCAGGCCATGAAGAGAGCCGTTTCAGTGTCAGTGGTGCCATGGGACGACAGCCGGGTGCGAGCAGATGGGAGAAGGGGGTGGCCGTGGGGGGGACGGGCTTTAGACACAACCTGAGTAGACTCTTCCCAAGTTTGGAAGTGAATGGAGCAGACAAATGGCGCAGTAGCTGAAGGGGTACTTAGGGCCAAAGGAGAGTTTTATTTTAAAGATGGGAGACATAAAAATAAGCCTGTATGCCATTGGGAGTGATTTAAAAAGAGGGAGTTGGTGATGATCTTGGCTGGAGGCTGGGGCCGGAGGGAGAGGGAGACTCGATCAAGTGAGATGGAGGGTGGGCGGGTACCTGTGAGGTGCAGAGGACTGCATCCAGATGGCAGAACACCGAAAGGTGTGTTGAACTCATCGTGGGAGGACATGGGAGCTCCCGTGTGATGATTCTATTCTTTTTAAAAAAATTTTTTTATTAACATATAATGTGTTATTTGTTTCAGAGGTACAGATCTGTGATTCATCAGTCTTACACAATTCACAACGCTCACCATAGCACATACCCTCCCCGATGTCTATCACCCAGCCACCCCATCCCTCCCACCCCCCACCACTCCAGCAACCCTCAGTTTGTTTCCTGAGATTAAGAGTCTCTTATGGTTTGTCTGCCTCTCTGGTTTCGTCTTGTTTAATAAGCTATCAATCAAGTGAAGAAGAGGTGGGTGTGGTGAGAACGAATGGTTCTGAGTATGGATGAGAGTATGCGAGACCCTCCAATGCCCAAATACTTTAGTTGGTGGTAATTTCTTGCTCCCTGATTGGTTGTGCTTCTGGCTCTGCAGAGAAGGGTTTGGTGGAATGAAGAAAAAAACCCGAGTAGTTCTTATCCTTGGAGGAGGCTGAAGCACTGAATGCAGGGAAAAATGGTGGGAGAAGCAAGGGGCTGCTGTTGGAGATACATGTTGCCACAGATTAAAAATTAGGCTTAATGGATGTTAAATTTGTTGGGTTTTTTTTTACATCAAAGAAAAATCCCCCAAGTTGTTTAGCTCTGTAGCAGGAAGTGAAATGGGCTTTTACACAATTCTACTATTTAAGGACACAAGAGGGCAGCATTGTTGAAAGAAAAAAATCAATGGAGTCTAGCTGGTTTTACTCCTGTCTCATGGAAATGCATTTAAAAAGTATTCTCTTATATATGAAAACAATGGATCGTGGATCACCACATCAAAAACCAATGATGTATTGTATGGTGACTAACATAACATAATAAAATTAAAAAAAAAAAAAAAAGCATCCTCATCAGAGCATCAGAGCATCGATTCCAGGTGGGAAAAGGATGTTAGGAAGATTATTATGCACATTGCATGCACCGGCCTTTGGGCAAAAGACATGCAGACAAACATGATTAAATCAGGTAACCCAGGACTGAATGTGACTCCCTCCGCTTTTCCAAGAAGCCTTAGGACCCGTAGTTCTCAACTGGGACTGCACATTAAAACACCTGGGAGCTTTAAAAACTACGCTATCTGACCTCCACTGAAATTCTATTATAGCAGAATCTCTAGGGCTGAGGCCCCATCATCTGTACTTTAAAAACTCATTCCAGACTTTTCTAGAGTGCAGCCAGGGTTTAGAACTACTGTGCTTGTCTATACCAATTGTCCCCAAGTATGGCCCCTGGGCCAGCAGCATCAGCAGCACCTGGAAACTTGTTAGAAATGTAAATTCTAGGGTCTTACTCTACACCTACTGAATTACAGATTGGTGGGGAGGGGTGTGGGCAGCCTTCCAAGAATTTCTGGTGTGTTTTGAGAACCACTGCTTTATACCATTCCCAAGTAAGCCATTTCAGGCTGTATAAACTTCCTCTTACATTTCCTCTTCTACTCTTTCATCTAAATGCTTCATGCTGTAATTTAACCTTTAATTATTTGTGTTAGTAGATATGCAAACAGTCACTATTGCATGCATGGGTACATGCACGCACACACACATATATACACACACTTTGGTATGAATTGAAATCACCTGAGGAATTTGATGAAAGCAGAGGTCCAGATCCTAGCCT